ACTCCCCGGGGACCTACGCCAGGGTCCTGTTCGTGGACTTCAGCTCTGCCTTCAACACAATCCTGCCATCCCTGCTCCAGGACAAGCTCTCCCAGCTCAACGTGCCCGATTCCACCTGCAGGTGGATCACTGACTTCCTGACGGACAGGAAGCAGCGAGTGCGTCTGGGGAAGAATGTCTCGGACTCTCGGATTATAAATACAGGAGCCCCACAGGGCTGTGTTCTTTCTCCCCTGCTCTTCTCCCTGTACACCAACCACTGCACCTCCAGCCACGACTCCGTGAAGCTGATCAAGTTCGCGGACGACACCACCCTCATTGGACTCATCTCCAACAACGATGAGTCCGCCTACAGGAGGGAGGTGGACCGGCTGGTGTCCTGGTGCAGTGGTAACAACCTGGAGCTGAACGCCCAGAAGACAGTGGAGATGATTGTGGACTTCAGGAAGAGCACTGTCCCCCCGCCCCCACCCTCCGTGATGGACTCCCCCATCACCTCTGTGGAGTCCTTCCGTTTCCTGGGCACCACCATCACCCAGGACCTCAAGTGGGAGCCGACCATCAGCTCCCTCATCAAGAAGGCCCAGCAGAGGATGTACTTCCTGCGGCAGCTCAGGAAAGCCAAGCTGCCTGCACAGATGTTGGTGCAGTTCTACACGGCCATCATCGAGTCCATCCTCACCTCCTCCATCACCGTGTGGTTCGCTGGAGCCACAGTCAGGGACAAACAGAGACTACAGCGCATTGTGCGCTCTGCAGAGGAAGTGATCGGCCGCAGCCTTCCATCGCTGCAGGACCTGTACGTCGCCCGAGCTCGAGGCCGGGCTGGTCGTATCACAGCCGACCCCTCTCACCCTGCACATGGACTATTCCAACCACTCCCCTCAGGCAGGAGGCTGCGGTCCATCAGGACTAGAACCTCCCGCCACAAGAACAGTTTCTTCCCCTCTGCTGTTGGACTCTTGAACACTTCTTAACCTGTCCCCCCGCCCTTTATAAAGTCACTTTACTGCCCATCATACGTCACTTTACTTCACTGTACTGCTGTCACCTTACATTGTGTGCACCATGTGCACTTGTATATTGTAAATAGTAACTGTAACTCTATTTTAAATTTAAATTTATTCTTTAGAAGTGTTTTTTATTCTTATTTTTATTATCTCTTTTTGACTGTTGCACTGAGCCAAAGCAATTTCCAAGTCTGTGACCTCCCGTTACTTACGTTGGCAATAAAAATGATTCTGATTCTGATTCTGATAAGTATAGTTGTTTATAAAAGGTTTGAAATGTTTTATTGATTTCAAACCTTTTGATTTCGTTGGCTTCCCTGCTGAGTTTAAAATAGCAGGTATTGTTTTGTTTTTTCAATTGATTAGCTAGGAATTTTCCTGTTTTATTTCCATGTTTGAAATGTTCCATTTTGTATTTCTTCATGAGAAATTCAGTATTTTGTATCCATAATTTCATTTAATTTTGATTTGCATATAATTAATTATTTTTGGATAGCTTCAGTTGTATTTATGATATTCAGTTTTTCGAGTCTTCGTATTTTGTTTTCTAAACAATACAATTGCTTGTTGTTGTTTCTCTTTTTAGTTTTTGTTGATTGAGAAGGATATGATTAGAGATGTTAGCACCGCCTTTCCTGTCTTCCACTTCAGAGATGCAGAGGTCTCCGGGGAGTCATTCAGTTGTAGAAATGCTGCCCACTCTCTCCTGAAGAACTGGTCAAAATCATTGTCTACAAGGAGAGATGTGTTAAAGCACCATCTGGTGAATGATTTAATTGGGTTATTATGTTGGGTTATTATGTTGATTTCAGTGTTAGCGAGATTGGTGCGTGGTCACTTGTTGTGATGGACGTTTGTCTCGACGATGTTTGAAAAAAAAGAAATGCTTGTCAGAAAATAATTAACGCGTGAATAAGAATTATGAACTGGTGAAAATAAGGAAAATTGTTTGTGGTTGGGATGTTGGAGCCTCCAGCAATCTCCAAGACCACAGTCACTCATAAACTGCAAGATTGTTTCTGTGGAGTGCCAGACACGTGGTGCATTTGTTTTGTGGGATCTGTCCATTGGGGGGTTTAGTACTGTGTTGAAATCTCCTGCCATGATGATTGGGGGTGGGGAAGAAATGAAGTGTGTGAAAATTTGATGAAAAAATGCTGTGTTATCAGAGTTTGGACCATACACATTGCCCAGGGTGACTTGGTAATTTGTAATTGAAATATTTATGATAATGTATCGCCCCTCTGGGTCTGTTATTAAAGAGTTAAGTGTGAATTGAATATTTTTGTGAATTATGATACCGTCTCCTCTCTGTTTCCTGTTGTAACTTGCCAAAAATATATGGTTGAAGGTTTTTGATTGAAGCGAGTCAAGTTTAGACAAGTGAGTTTCTTGCAAGAAACAGATATTGGCTTTTAATGTTTCTTGGTCTTTTTTGTCTTATTTCCCAGCCCCCGTTCATTCCATGAAATAAGGATATGAAATTAACTTTCTACAATATTCTGTGTGTGTGTGCGTGTGTATGTGCGTGCATGTACGTGCGTACACTTCACATAAAACACAGCGAACAAAAGAGGGAGAACACATAACATGAAAACAAAACATTTGCAACATGGAGGGTGACCCGCAGGGTTATCTTTTATGGAATAGTTTGTGGAGACCAAGGTGCGTATTTACATTCAAAAGTGAGAGGTGGAGGATATACATTTTTCGCTAGTACAACCACTGGGTTTTTTCCTTAGCCCTTTACAGTTGACCATCAATATACAGTTTGTCCACTGATTTGACAGCCTTTTTGCCTTCCATCATAATTTGTTTGCGGATAGAAAACAGTACATCGTTGGACAATGTCCTGACGGAATTGGTCGTTCATTCCGAAGTGAGAGCCTTTCAACTGTCTGCCTTGTTTCTGGACCAGTACTTTATGTTTTAAATGTTCGAATTTTGCAATAATGGGGCAAGGTCTATTGCTGTTTTTTTGCCCGAGGCGGTGTACTCTGTGAAATCTGATGCTGTTGACTGTAGCTGATGGGAGTTTTAGTTTCTCGGAGATGAAGTCGTTGATGAGTTTTTCTGGCTCATCGTTTGGTTGTTCTGCATTTCTTGTGAATACTAAATTGTCTCTCATACGGCTTGAATGAAGCCATGTCACACAGCTTGAATGTCTAGGATAGTCTCTTTCATTCTTTTATTGTCTGCAGTGATTGAGGTGAGTTGGGTTGATAAGGATCCTATCGTTTGTTTCAATGTATTATTTTCTTTTGCGAGGTTTCATTTATTTATTATTGTCAGCCATTGTAACATTTTACACCGTTTCAACGGTAAGACTGCACTTAAATGTAGGGAAATAAACTAAAAACTGTACTCAGATAATGATTCAATTAAAATGTTCAATTCATTATGAACAGCAAAGACTCACCACTGTGAATGATATTCTAGAGTGGGATGGCCTTCTTTGTCCACCAGAAGGTTTGGACACTGGTGCACTTCATGGATCTACAGTTTTATAATAACTGGATAGGGTATTACTAGCTTGGAGCTGAAGAACCGATGTGCTCGGGGGATTCTCGCGATACTGCAGACTAAATTCACGTGGGCTACCCAGAAATTTTCCCCATAGAACTCAATGTAAACTAAAAAAGCTCGACCTCAGCTGACAGAGAACCTACAGCTTTCATAAAGGTCGGATTTTGTGGGGATTTTAGTGTCCCTTGTCATCCTGAACTTTTTCTCATCTTATGTAAATCCTTCGGTTTTCTTTAAATCCACACTTTAGTGCCACAAACTCTGGCTCCCGCTCTAACTCCCGCTCTGATGAGCAGCTCTGATTGGTCAGAGCGCGGCCGAGCCCGTCTGTGCACGTGCATAACAGCCACACATGCGTATTTGGCATCATGGGAGTTCATCCACTGCGCAGAACCGGGAGGACCAGACGATGCCCAAATACATGCCAGTTTCCCATGGAAACTGAGCACAAACCATTCATTTGAATACGGCGCCATCTTGGATCGCCGGGGTTTGGTGCACTTTTGTTTATAAGGCTATGCTTGGTCTGCTGCCCTGCCATTTACTCACACAAAGAGATGTTGGTTCATATAGTTTGGATCAAATCTATCAAATCAGATCTTTTGTTGCCCTATGTTCCTTTTGCACTTATTTCATTGAATGCTTTTAGATCCAGATTGAGAGCACTTGAGACGTCCTCAGTGAAATATATATATATATTTATATTAGGGCTGGGACTCGATAAAAAAAAACTAATTAATTGCATATAAATATTTGACCTGAGAACAGTGAGAAGTAGTTTTTTTCACATGGATTTTTTGTATACCATCGAATAATGACTGAATACATAAGCTTAAAAAATATTGTTTATTTTTGTTCAAGTCCAACTTTAAGTAGCAATACCATATTTAGATATATACTTCCCATCCACGGATTCTTTTTTCAAGTTCACTGTGCCACGAACCAGAGCGGACATCATAGCAAAACGAGTGCAGCTGCGAGGCAGCGTGCAAGTGTTTTACCGCACCAAACACAATCTTTATACACTTTGGCAACCACTGGCAGTGGTTGCCATAGTACAGCACCCGGGAACCCGTCTCCAGATGTTGATGTTGAGCAAGCCGAGCATCAACATCTGGAGGATTTTACCCATTGAGCATATTTTTAGTGGTAGGGGAAACCAGAGCACCCGAAGGAAACCTATGCAGACACGGGGAGAACATGCAAACTCCCCTCAGAGAGGCCCTATTACGACCGTGATTTAATTCAGCCACGTGCCGCCCATTTACATTATATTGGTAGACTAGCACTGGTTCAAATAGTTTAAGTAGGAAAACACACAGCTCTTACGCAAATTACACAATATGGAAATCAAGATTATAAGTGGCTATATTTCAGAACATAGCCACATACCCCAACACTCGTGCATGCTTGAGGAGGATCTATGAATGTCTATGTAAAGTTATTGTAATGGTTTTTTTCCAGGCCACCTACATCACCGCTACCTTCCCTTTCGCCATGTTGTTCGTGCTGCTCATCAGAGGCCTTACACTTCCTGGAGCTCTGCATGGGATCAAGTACTATCTGTATCCTAATCCCACCCGCCTTGCTGACCCACAGGTTACATTGAATAAATAAGCACTAGAAATTGTACAATGGTTGAAGCTTTTGTGAGTGACCGTATACAATAAACAAAAACAAACACATTAAGACCATGGAACTAAATAACATCAAGGAAAAAATTAAAATGACAAAACTATACATTCAAAACAATGATGAACATATAAACAATTTATCTGAACTATGCAATATTGCAAACCCTCTTAGACTTAGGCAGTGAAATGGATACATCAAAAAGTTGAAATAATCAAAACATTGCATAATTTGAAAATATAAAAAGAAACACAAAAAACAAATTCATATAAATCCTGTAGTAATTGATAGAAAGATATTTTGTTGTTCCAACTATTGCTCATTTCTAGACCAAGATTTCCGAAGTTGTCCCAGGAACCATATCAATTACTACAGGATTTATATGAATTTGTTTTTTGTGTTTCTTTTTATAGAAACATTGTAATCAATAGAACCATAACTTCTAACACTGCAAATACTAAAAATAAGGTATAAGTACCAAAAGTAATGCAAGGAGTCACACCAATTTGAAGCTGTAAAAAGCGAAACAAAAATCAGTGATAAATATCAGAATCCAGAACAGAGTCACAAAATGCTTTACCATTGTTGTGAACAAAAACTACAATTAAAGAAGTAAAATCAAAGTCTCTCCATTATTTAAAGAGTTCTTTTATTAATTATGACAATTGTCATTATTAAAAATAATCATCATCATAACTTTTTTCATGATCTTAACACAGGTTTGGATGGATGCTGGGACCCAAATATTTTATTCTTATGCCATTTGTCTGGGAATACTTACAACACTCGGGAGCTACAACAAGTACAACAATAACTGTTATAGGTGAGATATGTTTGTTTGTTCATTCTGCTCAAAAGGAGTGGGCTGTACCATACCATACCATTTATTTATAAAGCACTTTTAAAAAACTTTACAGTTCAGCAAAAGTGCTGTACACAAAAAACAAACACATAGACTGAAAATACATATATAAAACAATATTACCTAAGATCAAACATTATCAAAAGCAAGTGAAAAAGATGAGTCTTAAGAAGTGACTTAAAAACAGGCAGAGACTGAGCCTGTCTAATCTCAATGTCTAACTGATTCCAAAGATGTGGACCTGCGACAGAAACGGCTCGGTCACCACGAAGCTTACGCTGTGTCTTAGGGACCACCAGCATCAGCTGATCTGCCGACCTCAGGGCACGAGAGGGAACATAGGGCAGAATAAGATCACAGAGGTAGGAGAGGGCCAGTCCATTTAAACATTTAAAAGTAAATAAAATAATTCTAAAATCAATTCTAAAACCCACCGGAAGCCAGTGTAGAGATTTTAAAACCGGTGTAACACGCTCACATCTGCGAGTTCCAGTTAAAAGTAGACCTGCAGAATTTTGGACGAGCTGCAGCCGAGTAAGTGCGTGTTGGCTCAGCCCACAAGTGCATTGCAGTAGTCTAAGCGGGTTTTCCAGTGGGGGCGGGTCCCGGCTCAAAAGTGGCCAAATTGACGTGCGCTGACATGCTTGCAATACCACCCCGGGCCGATGGGGGTGGACCCGGAATAAGAATTAGGCAATGCTAACGTATAGCATCTTCCTACCTCTCTAAAACACCTTTACAGGATGGTCCAAAAGTTGGCTCTAGGTCCAAAAGTCGGCTCTAGGCCCAAAGCTCCGTTCCACATGTGTGTCAATGCTGAGGGGAGTGAATTTTTTTGGACCACTCTAGTTTAGTCTCTGTGAATTTTTGAAGTCACTCGTTTAAATGAATAGGGCTTGTGCCGGCTGACGCATGAGCAGATACATTTTTTCACATTTTCCAGCCCCCGCAGCCATTTTGTATCACTCCATGAAAGCCCAATATTTGGCCCATTAGTTAGAATGGCGGAGATAGGCGTGTCTACGTCCGTTAATATATACAGTCTATGGGGTTGTCACAAAAGCATGCACAACAGTCTCAAAGTGCTGCTTTGTTAAAACAGGCTTTATTTCTGCAAGTTGCCTTAGCTGAAAAAAACTTGTTTTGACAACTTTTGAAATCTGCTGGTCCAGTTTCAGGTTAGCGTCCATCCTAACACCCAGATTAGTCACTGCTGGCTTCAGCAGAGGGAGTGTGGCCGCTACTCGGGCTAAAAACATTTACCTCCGTTTTCTCCTGGTTGAGGTTCAGAAAGTTTAAAGACATTCATTGTAGATTGTAGATCCTTCAAACAGTCCAAGAGAGAGGCAGAATCATGTTTGTCAGTTCTTCAGTGGTAAATAAATTTGACAATCATCTGCATAAAAATGAAAGCCAACATCATGCTTTCTCAGGATGGGTCCAAGCGGGAGCATATATAATGAAAACAATAGAAAACTCACCTTCACACTACTGATTATTACGAGCTTGTTATGAAGACACATACATATATAAATAAAATAATAAAGTCAATAAGTCTATTTCGCTCAGAAAAGGGATCTGGTTGCTCTCCAGATATAATTTCCACAATTTCACTCTAAATACAGAAGAGTAGGATGAAACCCGGAAAAAATGTAGGGTGTAAAGCGGGCCTCACCAACCCAGCTGCCCGATCATTTGGGAGCTGATGTTCCAATACAGTGTTGCAGTAAAAGACAACCTCGCAATGGACCCACACCTCCCTGACCCCATTTCTCTGTAGTTTATTATTAGAAATAAATACAGATGACAACCATTCCAATTGACACTCAACCTTGATCAATAAAATATGAATTGATACTACTGACTCAGAAGATATCCTTTATTTGTCCCACAGTGGGGAAATGTCATTACTTCTTGTGTTTGCATTTATATTTGATGATTGGACATTCCTTCATCTCTAATGTGGCTGACAAAGAGATATTTGTTTTAAATCTCAAAAAAAGTGTTTATCCCAGACGAGTGAATATATATTGTTTTATATAACAAACACGACTCCACTTGAATGTACAAAGTCAGTTAATTTTGTAGTATGTAGTATGCATGTAACTATTTGCTCTCCTTTATGAGACATGTAAGACACTTTATTGGAAATATATTTTCACCGGGGCTAAATTTATGAATAACTTTGAATAACTTGTTTTTCATGCATTTTTTATTTTTTTATTATTATTTCTGTAACAAAATAAGCATTTTCTATTGAGAAATTAAAAGGTATGTGATATTTTGTTTCTAATTTTCAGAGATTCCTTTTTCCTTTGCCTACTGAATAGTGGAACAAGCTTCACTTCTGGAGTTGCCATTTTCTCTGTTCTGGGGTATATGTCAGAGAAGCAGGGCATTGATATTTCATCAGTAGCCGAGTCAGGTCTGCAAAATACAGAGATGTTTGTGGTTGGTAATAACATTTATGTCATTAATGCATATTGTGTGCAGGCCCTGGTCTTGTGTTTATCGTTTATCCCCAAGCCATAACTCTGCTGCCATTCCCACAAGTTTGGGCTGTCTGTTTCTTCACAATGATTATATTATTGGGCATTGATGGACAAGTGAGATTTTCAAACTATAATCAACTCTAACTATTATTGATTGCTTGATCACACTTTTCAATGTTTGATCTTTTCTACAGTTTGTAGGGCTGGAAAGTATTATGACGTCTTTAACAGATGTATTTCCGTCCCAAATCAGAAAAGGCTATCGCAGAGAACTTCTGCTTTTTCTGATTTGTGCTTTATCTTTTTTAATTGGTTTGCCGCTGGTGTCAGAGGTGAGCTCACAGACAGCAGAATACTGGGTGCCCCATCTAAATGTAATTACCACTCCACTCCTTCTTCCAGGGAGGAGCTTATCTTTTGCAGATTTTTGACCATTATGTGTGCAGTGGACCAGTGTTACTTTTAATGGCAATCTTACAGTCAGTTGTTATTGGTTGGATTTATGGTAAGGTGTAATATCTGCATCTTTTATCATTACATTTAAGTCTCAGGATGTTATTTGTACCACTCTCTAACCTTTATTTCTTCTAAAGGAGCTCAACGCTTCTCCAACAATATAGCAGACATGATAGGATATAAACCCTTAGTCCTGGTTCAGTACTGCTGGCTGTATGTTACACCAGCTGTATGCAGTGTGAGTATCAAGAGATTATTTTGACGTTGTTAAAGTGTTTTAACTTCATGTGTCTCTTTTATTTTGTTTAGGGAACTTTCATCTTTTTGTTAATGAAGCACTCTCCTCTCCGGTTCAATAACTCATATGTTTACCCTAAGTGGGCCTATAGCATTGGTTGGTTTCTTGCAACCTCTTCTCTGGTTATGATCCCATTCATTATGGTGTGCAAACTTGTTCATGGAAAAGGAAATCTCTGGGAGGTCTGTACAACACACACCGTGTGCTGTTAAAAAAATGCTGAGAAGTGATCAATCTACATTTATTTTGTTACCTTGAACTACATAACACTTGACTGTTTTCATTCCATAGCGGATCAAAACCATCGCGCAGCCTGCAGATGACCTTCCAGTGACGGCAAAATAAATTATAGCCTTGAATCCTTGTGTCTCTACACAACAGTATTTGTTTAAGAAATTAATACAAATACTTGAATTTACATTTGAGTTTATCAAAGGAATTTAAAAAATGCCAATAATATGGTACTTGAAAGTGTTTTACAAATGTTTACAGAAAATTGTATCAAAAAAAAAAACATTTTACACTTCTATAATAAAATCCTGCACATCAATTAATGACAGCTATTAAAGTTTTTTTTCTTCATTTTTATATATATATATATATATATATATATATATACACACACATACATACATATATATATATACATTTATTTTTCCTTTATATATGATTAATTACTGTATAAGAATGTAAGTGACTTCATAGGTCAATACACATTTACAGTCTATGGTCAATACAAATGCAAAAAAAATTAAAAATTACAAATCTCTGCTTTACACAAAGAAAAAGAAGTATTGAAAACATTGATTTATTAATATATATACATGTATATAAATGACAAGTTTAAGAGGATACAGCAGCTCTAAGTATTTGGATATCATCCATCGGTCGGTCTTGGCTGTTGGTCTCCACCATTCCAATGCGGTTCAGAACTCCCATCCCCTGACACACACGGCCAAAAATTGTGTGCTTCCCGTCAAGCCACTGAGTCGGGGCCAAAGACAGAAAGAACTGACTTCCATTTGTATGCGGACCTGCATTAGCCATTGCCAGGATACCAGCGCCTTCAAAGCATATCACAAATCAACTTTTTTCCAGTGTGTTTTGATAATTACAATAGAGACTTTTTAAATTACAATTGTTATTAACTAATAATTATCGTTTAAAAATCACTTACCAGTAAATTTGAGCTCAGAATGCAATTCATCTTCAAACTGTTTGCCAAATATAGAGGCACCTCCCCGACCTGAAACCATAGCATGTATGAATAGTATGAAATAAAGCAACATGTTAACAAAATAACATGTGTACCTGTTCCCGTTGGATCGCCACCTTGAACCATGAAGTCTTTAATTATTCTATGAAATTTTGTGCCATTATAGTATCCTCTCCTGGACAGTTCAGCAAAGTTCTTGCAGGTATTTGGGGCATGGTCCCAGTACAACTCCAATGTGATACTTCCCATCCTAAAAAATAATATTTTGTGAGTTGCCATGGAAACCATCAGAATGTATTAACACACACACTGACATCAACATTTATTTATGTATTATTTTATAAGATTTTTTTCTTCCTCCCACTCCTTTTCGGGTTTGAATGATGTCAACATTGTAACAAGTAACTGTAAATGGATGATTTGAGGTACATGAACTCGAAATAAATAAACACTCAACTCAACTCATTTGTTAAATAATTTGTATTCAGAGTAAGGACATAGGCAAAAGCTCTGGTGTGTAATATAGCTGAGACCTGGCGCACACTGGGGTACTCTAGCAGTTATTCCAATGTGGTTTTACTGCAAATGGCAAACAAACCGAATCTATTCCAATCAGTAGATCAATGATTCCAACCACTCGCCATAAGATCAGTATCTTCTCCTCATTAGTCGGATTGATGAACACTTCATAACTCATCACTGACCCTTCAAAACAGCCACCTTATACTACTGTCACTTTGCTGCACTGCTAAATAGCTACGGTGTGTACTAAAAGTGCACTTGTATAGTTTGTAGTGTTTTTAAGAAATGTTATTTATTAGTATGCATGCAACTTGATTGAGCCAAAGCAAATTCCAAGTTTGAGATTACTTTTTACTTACAATGGTAATGAAAACCATTCTGAATCTGAATTGCGGATGACATGGTGCTAGTTTAGCTCGGAGAGAAAGACGTTGAACTTACGTGGTTTCCAAAGTCACAATTGGCGGCTGCCATGAATCTGGCGGAATCCCAGACATAGCTTATACTTTAGGTCAGCGTTGAGTGAATCAAGGTGAATAGAAAAGGCACTTTTTTGCAGTAACACACGCGTGTTTTCATTCATTCAGTGCATTTCAAACACACCACAAACATTGGATCACTTCCGGTACATGTTTCGCTGCTCACCGCCCTCTAGCGGACACGGCACAGAGCTGCATGTGCGTGCACACTGCTGCCTACAGTAGGACCGCGGTGTGTAGTGTTCTTTCAGAAGTAATAAACAAGTATTACTGGGTATATGCTTTGATACGTTTACTGCTGTAAATAAATAGAGTCAGAGTATTTACATTGCAATACTGTGTGCCTAAGCTGGGACCTGCTATCTCCACAGTATTTATTTGATATTCTTCTGCACAAGCCAGAAACAACTCTCGCCCAAACTCGTTCACATGCATACGCACAGCTGTCATCAAATAATACCCTTTATAAAATACTAATTTTAATCTGAATAAAATTCATTTTCTTCTGCAAATATAACACAGTTTTAACAGATGCAGCAATTTCCACTTCCTCCCATCTGGAGATTAATCAGATGAGCAGGCCTAATCCAATTTAGCGACAGCAAGTCTGTTAACATAGCACATAAGCTTGCAGCTAGGTCAGGGTAATTTTGTTAGAGAGCAAAGCATTGAGCAAGGTACGTTGATACATCACTGTATTATTTTATTATGTATTATTTTACGTGTGGATTGTGGCTGTAGTAAGTGTGTCCGGTTTTCAAGGCCGAACCATGTCTATTCTGGGGATTCATGCCAGAGAAATCTTTGATTCTCGAGGAAATCCCACTGTTGAGGTTGATCTGTACACTGAAAAAGGTCTGTGTGCACGTATTTACACGGGGTATATTGTATTGGAGTAATAGCAGTATTTGTAAATGTTGTTTTCAGGGCTATTTAGGGCTGCTGTGCCAAGTGGTGCTTCAACAGGTATCTATGAAGCTTTGGAGCTCAGGGATAATGACAAGTCTCGTTATCTTGGAAAAGGTTGGTCAAACTTTTTATTATAACATGGTTTTGGCTTTGTTTTTAGTCAGTTTTAGCAATGAAAATTATTCTGAAAACAATTTTGTTGTTGTTTATACATTACAACAGAAAGAGTCTTTTTTAACAAGGTTCTTCTGTTTTCAACAAAACAAGGTCTTTGTGTTAAGGAACATTTTGTGAAATGTTTTATGTATTTTAAGTTAATTTTTGTAGTTTTAAATGTTGGGTGCTGCAGCTTTACAATGTGCAATGTCAAATACTAACCATAAAAGTGTTATTTCCTGAATCAGGAGTGTCACAAGCTGTGCATAACATCAATTCAATAATCGCTCCTCTGCTCGTGGGTCAAGTAAGGCATTATTCTTGAATATTTGTACACTTAGCTTGACCTTTATTTTAAAATATTTTTATTATTATTAATTTAGACCGTTTCTGTGGTTGATCAAGAGACTATTGACCAGATGATGATTGCTTTGGATGGTACTGAGAACAAAGGTAGGTTAAGATGAAGTTACACTATAATTACTTAATTACTTACTAATATTACTTTTAAAACTTTTTCTATTCCTGCTACTATAACTTTTACTACTACTTCTACTACTACTACACCTTTGACCTTTAAATCATTATTGGAAAACAGCCAAGTTGGGAGCCAATGCCATTCTTGGTGTGTCACTGGCTGTGTGCAAAGCTGGTGCTGCAGAGAAAGGTGTCCCTCTGTATCGCCACATCGCAGACCTGGCAGGAAACCCACAAGTTATTTTACCTGTGCCTGTAAGATGTTTTAGCCTATTTAATCCCCAACCACTGCATCATGTGCAGTTTCCTCTATACACTATGTCTTCCAGGCCTTCAATGTGATCAATGGTGGATCTCATGCAGGCAACAAACTGGCCATGCAGGAGTTCATGATCCTGCCAGTCGGAGCGTCCACGTTCAAAGAAGCGATGCGCATTGGAGCGGAGGTCTACCATAATCTCAAAAATGTAATCAAGAAAAAGTATGGTCAGGATGCGACCAATGTGGGGGATGAAGGAGGCTTTGCTCCAAACATTCTGGAAAACAAGGAAGGTAATAATGGGCAACATATCTATATCTAATATAAAGTACAAAGAAAAGGTTACAAATGATTGATAAGATAATGTTACAGGTGAAACTCACTTTTATTCTGTAATTCCACTTTCAATGTGAAACTAATTTATCAAGATTCAAGAATGTATTTGCCCTTTGTAGTAAAACCAATTTGGAAAAACTAACCCAGTGTGCACCAGATAGTTTATGAAAGACACAACAAGTGAGATATATAAAATCTTCGTTTTTAATAATGTTGATAATTATGGTTCACAGCTTTTAAAAACCTCAAAGAAAACATCTCGGAATATTAGAATATTTTGAAAATAAACTGAAGCTATAATCATCAAATGTATACAAACAAAGGCATGTATGTCATATATTGATTTCACATTTTATGTTTATTTTACAAAAATAAACCTCTGAACAATTTTCATCTGTCAAACTTTGGCTATATGCTGCTGTATTCTCTTGCAGGTTTTTTTTTTTAACCAGGAAAAATCCCATTTAGATTAAGAACCTCTTTTTCAAGAGGCAGCAAAGTTACACATAAACACAACAGACAGATAAAATAACATTAAAGATGACAGGTATACAGACTACGCACTTCAAGTAAAACAGTTTATGACTTAGATACAAATTCTAAATCTCAGTGTAAAAGGGTTTTATTGGATAGGGAAATGAATGAACTAGAGGAGTAATTGATTATTAATATACAATATCCTGTGGCAATTGCAACAACAAAGAAAAAAAGACTGCATGACATTAAGTGATTTATTGAAAATGTACTATTTAGTTTCATATTTTATACTTCCTTCATTTGAATACATAATAAAGCTGTTGTAAAATGTGATATAACAATGACACTTATGTTACAGTTTTTTTTTATATAATTATTACATGTTATTCATTAGAATTAGACTTTAAACACCATTTTATGAGCCTAAACAAAGTCATGCATAATAAATGGTGATTGAATCCACTATTCAGGCCAATATGGCTTTTAAAATATATACTCAAATAAAGTAAACTATTAGTAACTAGTAAACTAACTAGTATTTGTAAGTACATTAGTTGTGGTACCATACTTCCCATGTCAGTGAAATTCAATGTTTTGTATATACTAACGAAACCGTTCATGTAGAGTAAAATAAGTTAAAATAAGCTTGATCCCTGGTTTCCTTTCTACCTTAAAATGTAAACTTTCTTCATTGCTTTGCTTGATACATAGCTTTGGAACTGCTGAAGGAGGCCATTTCCAAAGCAGGGTACACAAACGAGGTGGTGATCGGCATGGACGTCGCTGCCTCTGAGTTCTACAGGAACGGGAAATATGACCTGGACTTCAAATCTCCAGATGATCCAAGTCGCTACATCAGCCCCGATGAGCTCGCTGACCTCTACAAGAGCTTTGTGAAAGATTATCCAGGCATGTCCATATTTCTATAGTGTGAAAAAATAATTGTTTTGTATTGGGGCTGAGTTTCAGTGATGTCTTAGATATATATTATCAGATCATTTATTCAAATAGATTAATGTTTTTAGTCTATTCATCGGCCCCAAAACATGAAATCCTTTTTTTTCATAGAGTGAATCAAATGCTTTGAAAAAATATTGGATGAAGTGAAGGATGAAGTGATGAAGGGATTGGATTGTATCCAATAAGAAAAACACAACAACAAATATTAGCTGTAATTTTGAGCCAAATTTGGTGCGTTTTCATCAGTTTTCATGCATCTTCATCAATAATAATGTGGCCCCACCCCCTGAGACTATAGATGAAAATTAGCCTTTGCCTACAATATGTTCATTACCATGTACTGTGCCTATTGGCGTCAATATTTCCAGTGTGCGGCAGAATGCCATGACATTGTTGTAACGGTCTTTCATTGGATTTTGACTTTTAGTGGTGTCTATTGAGGATCCCTTTGATCAGGACGACTGGTCTGCGTGGTCTAACTTCACTGGCAGCACAGACATCCAGGTGGTGGGAGATGACCTCACTGTGACAAACCCCTCTCGCATCTGCAAGGCTGTGGAGGAGCGCGCCTGCAACTGCCTTCTGCTTAAAGTCAACCAGATTGGCTCTGTCACAGAGTCTATGAGGGCGTAAGTATATATTGTGGTATTACCAGGTGAGGGTGAACTATTGGACTTCCTTATGAAGCTACAGTTTTTGGTGAAAAATATTGAATTGTCATGCACCAAAAAATGTCTTTAATTATCATCTTATATATCTAATAGCTATTCATCTGCAATTTATTTATTGTTAAAAATGTTGCTCATCAGTGGCAAGGCAAGTTTTTTTGCATAGCACAATTCATACACAAGGAAACTCAAAAGTGCTGAACAAAACAAGATACAGTCACATTATAAATAATTACTTTACATTAAAATTAGTAAAGATAAATCCCTCAGTTGTATCCACAGATAAACAGAACTGTTTTAACCTTTTAGAATTTAGCTGTGTGAAACTGAAACGTTGCCTCCCAAAGTTTAGGTCTCTTTCCCTTTTTTCCTCTCACAGATGCAGGATGGCTCAGGAGAGTGGATGGGGTGTCATGGTGAGCCATCGCTCTGGAGAAACGGAAGACACCTTCATTGCCGATTTGGTGGTGGGATTATGCACAGGACAGGTACATGCACCATATGATTGTTCTATGACACTATGACAGAGCACATGTAACAGATATATAATCATTTGAATGTCATCATATTAGATCAAGACTGGGGCTCCTTGTCGCTCAGAGCGTTTGGCAAAATACAACCAGATACTTAGGTGAGTGTTTATCAAATTATACTGTGGCATTACATTGAAGTAAATTGATATGTTTTAATATCTAACATTAATGTTGACAGAATTGAGGAGGAGCTGGGAGATGATGCTCTCTTTGCTGGGAAGAACTTCAGAAAGCCATTAATTTAACAGCGAAGCACACAAACTACAAATAATGTGACTAACTAAATGTTTAATGCAAAATACTATCGCCTGCCAGTACTGCATGATGTCATTTCAACAAACCCTTTGTGTTTGCTCTAATATAACAACACATTAGATTATATGTTGACACAAGAGAACTGTAAAATTGAGTATGTGTTTGATAGCCACAAAATAAAAAGACTTGAAGTGTGTGTGTTTTTGTATTGGTAGGTTGTTTATTTATGTGTTCCATAAATAACAACTATATGACATATGACGACATATACTAACAACATCAATTTGACCATTTTGCATGTAGCCATAAACGGATAATTGCAGTATTAGTTAGTGATTCAATTTATTCGCAGTATTTCTCCACTGGTCGCCCACAAAACACAGCTTAATGGCGCTTGTGTGATCCATGGATGCCTGTGCAGCAGCTGATGAGCAGAGGCGCTGCTGATCCGCGGCACATGCTCAGTAACGCACACCAGACAACTTTGAAGACTGGATCTACCGCTGAGGTCACTGCGCTGGGAAAATACACTGCCTCCTCCACCACACCGCCTCCATTTTGAATAGCCATGTAATAGGGACTCGCGTAGTTTGTGTGTGCGTATCGACCACTGCGTAGTGTCAACAAGCCACATCCAAACATCCCTCGACATGGACGACCTGTTCAGTCCGCGGAGGTAACTTAATCAACACATTACCCGCTATTCTCACGGAATATGGTGCATTTTACACGGTTTGTGGTTAGTCAGTACACTTTGGAGAGAGGTTTATGTGGAACACTCGGCGCGTCACTGGTCACGAAGTTGGTGTCTGTCTGGCTAACACGCTAGCCAAATAACATCGCTGCGATATGTTACAATCTCGTTAGCAGCTAGCCTATCTTTCTACTGTGAATTCTATACATTGATTGCATGCTGTGCTGTTTCATCTGCGTGGATAATTCGTGTTAATGTGTGGTAGTAAACTGTGCGTGTCTGGTTATTGCGTGCGCACTGCTGGAGATAGTACAGGATCTCTGCTATGGGCTTGACCTGTGTATTTACACGGTGGTCTGTGTGCAGCTAGCGAGGTTAGGTCAGCGACATGTTGTGAAAGCTAACACCCATGCATTTCGCGTGGTTTGCACACGTTTTGTCTGATATCCATCGGTGCCAGCGTCAACCTGTTATTACAAGGCAACACAGCATACACTGTCCTTGTATAATGGTGATCATAAAAATGAGCCGCTCCAGTGTGATTGATTGACGGTAATCTGCGGGAGCCAGCGTCGGGTTTCATTCATGTAATATAAGGAAAGAGCGCAGGTCACGGCAGAGATTGGCTCTGAGTGATTGTGGAGGCGGGATGTTCTCGCTGAAAACACTGTCTACTGGAGGAGGAATGTGTGGTCACATATTGATTTAACGCCTGGGTTTATTATCCGATAATGACAGTAAACATGTAGTAGACTTTCTTTCGGGGCGATATCTAAAAATCAGCGAAAAGTGTTGTTTAATTACTTAAATACATTTTCTATTGCAGGAGTCTGAACAGCACACAAGGCGAGATAAGAGTGGGGCCTAGTCATCAGGTAAATAACAATCATAGTTTCTTCATCTGGTCTGAATGGTACTATCGCATTGATAGAAATGATTATTTATATATGCAAATATGAATTTTCAGGCTAAACTTCCAGAGTTACAGCCGAGGTCTCAGCCTTGTTTACAGCCACAGACTGAGAATGAGGAACTCATGTGGGCTCCAGGGGTCAACGACTGCGACCTGCTCATGTATCTGCGAGCAGCTAGGTAAGACCTTACCTGTGGAAACTGGCAGATACCTGTTTTATGGTTGGACACATGTTACATGGATAGTAGCCATGCCCATGTCAAAATATCTTTTCACACATAACAGGAGCATGGCAGCATTTGCAGGCATGTGTGATGGTGGGTCGACTGAGGATGGATGTTTAGCAGCTTCTCGTGATGATACCACACTTAATGCACTTAACATGGTAAATGATAAAAATTATGTTCCTATATTGTATTACTATGTCATAAACAACTGTACAAATAACATGAACATGATTCAATTGTAGCTCCATGCAAGCCATTATGATGCTGCAAAGGCTCTCCAGCGTCTTGTTAAAAAGCCACTACCAAAACTTATTGAAAAATGCTGGTCAGAAGACGATGTGGTAGGTTACATTTTTACTATAAATCACATTTTTATCTGGTTTGTTCACAGTACTCTCATAATATTATGCCTTTTTAATTTCAGAAACGTTTCATTAAAGGCCTCAGGCAATATGGGAAAAATTTCTTCCGCATTCGGAAAGATTTTCTACCTTGCAAGAAAACGGTAAAAATACCTTTTTCATTTCATTGTCTCTTTCTCACCAAAATATTAAAACAATTAAATCACATGCCGACCTTCTTGTCCTTATTCATCTTCATCACAAATGTTATGAATTTAGGTTCAACTGAAGATTTTTTTGAAAGTGCAGGCTTTAATTTATAGAATCCAAAGGTTACTCATTCCTGATTTGATTTTTATAATTTTATCATCATATAATTATAATTGTAGAATTAGTATCTCAAAAGTGGTTTCTTTTGATTAGTACCTTTCAATAATTGATGTAGGATTAAATATTATATTGTTATAACAGGGTGAGCTGATAACTTTTTACTACCACTGGAAAAAGACTCCTGAAGCGGCAGGAACGAGAGCCTATCGACAGCAGCGACGCCAGCCGTCAGCACGTAAAGCCAAGACACGCTCTGCTGCAGCCTCTTCAAATGCACCATCACAAAACTATTCAAGTTAGTTTACTTGTTTTCCATTTTTCAGTGAGGAATTCTGACAATTAATTATATATTCATTTGTAGATGAAGTAAGTTCAGCCAGCGAGGATGACATTGATAGTGAGGACAGTGAGCAAGATGTTAAGAGCTGCAGCCATTGTGGTACAACAAGTAAGTTCTCAATGTTCACTATGCCTCAATGCTAAATAATAACATCATGTCATTTTACATTCTATTCAGACTCTAAAGACTGGCACCAGGGAGGAAAGAACAACCCAGTGTTGTGCACACGTTGTCGAACATATGAAAATAAACATGGCTGCCTTCCACCAACTCAAAAGTCAGGCGGCTCCCTGTACATGTTCAAACCTGCAAAGGAGGAAGAAGAAGTGAACAGCAAGCACGGCATGAGGACACGGCGGAGCAGAGCACCTGTAAGCCTCAGGCCTTCAGACGTGTTTATTACCTGTAATAATTGTGTGTCTGGATTCATTTTCCAGCTATCTTAAATATTTGTAAATGCCAATGATCGTATGAAGAACTGCTTTAAAAGGAACAATGAAAAATCATGAATCGCATTATTTTGACACGTTACAGCAGCTGTCATCTTTACGAAGTGGCCACAGGAGAATCACTGGTTCCCCCAATAATGATGATCGTAACAGTCATTCTGGATGTGCTACAAGAGCATCTGCAGCGGACAATAAAAATGAATCCACAAAGCGGGCAAACAAGGTAAAGAGGAACCCACTACCTTATGTTAACAAAGCTGGCAAGTTTTTACAGCACAGAGTTGAGAGTATAATATTTGAGGAAGATGTTTTATTTTTGTACAAAATAAATTCAAATGTTCTATTTGTCCTGTAGAAAATAAAGGAGGAGGTTGTGTCACCAAAGTCAACTAAAAGAGTTAGAGAAAGCCCAGCAGTTGAACCTGATGAGTCAGAGAAAACTACAGCTAAACGGCCAAAGACTCAGGTGAGAGATTTCAAGAAATGTAATACTGATATTGTACTTGCAACAATAACAGCCACATGCTATATTAGTATAATTATTAATGTGTTTCCTCCACAGGATCCTCAGGGCTCCCGGTCTGAGGGAGAGATCGAAGAGGAAAGCTCATCAGAAAGCCGCAGTGCTCAAGATGATGGCAGTAGTGACACCAAAGATATTGATCAGGACAACCGCAGCTCTTCTCCTAGCATTTCCAGCCCGCAACAGGGCAACGAGAGCGACTCTGACTCTTCCGCCCAGCCCAATGGCACTCAGTCAGAGCCAGCTGCCACCTCTTTGGCGGGTGATGCATCAGCTTCACACCCTGTCCCATTTCAAGGTCCTGCTGTCATTCCTCCTCCTCCTCAGAGGACTCCTTCTGCTGGCTCTGCACAAAGCCCTCCACCTCCAGCCACTGAGTCAAGTCAGAAAACTGCGGTCTCCAACAGCCATCCACAGCCTTCTTCGTCTGCGGCTGGTCTTCCGGAGCAGGATGCTCCTCACTCTCCCCCATTCCAGGTTTTATCTTCAGCAAACAGTGGGAGCCCACCACCCATGCCTCCACAACCAATACAGAGAACACCAATCTACTACAGAGAGCCTCAGCTTCCAGTGAGTCCTGTACCAGGAACACAGATCAAACCCCCTCCCACAACCCCGATCCCTCCTTCACACAAACAGATGCCACATACGACTGCTGCACCATACCCACAGATGCCTGCCAACCTGCCTCCTCCTCCTGCCCTGAAGCCTCTGAGCTCTCTGCCTAACCAGCACCCACCTGGAGCAGCCCCTCCTCCACTGCAGATGATGCCACAGCCTGTGCCTACCCAGATGCCAGTCATCTCTCAGGTGCAGAACCTTTCTGTCAAAGGCATGAGCACTCCTCATCTACCTGCAGCAGCCAGCACCATCACATCTACATCTGCCATCAGTCCTATTCAAAGCCTTCAGTCATCGCTTCCTCCTCTGCGACCCTCAAGTACCACCAGCATACAGGTTCAGGTGAAGGAGGAACCACTGGATGAGATGGAGGAGCCAGAGAGCCCGCCCCCTCCCCCCAGGAGTCCCTCTCCAGAGCCTACTGTGGTTAACATGGCCAGCCACGCCAGTCAGTCGGCTCGGTATGTCACTGTACTGACTATAATTCACTTTATGATACATTTCATTTATAGAATACAGCGGAATTCTAACACATCTCTGAAAAGGAGTAATTTTATTTGTTTTTACACAGATTTATTAAACATTTGGATCGTGGTTACAACTCCTGTGCAAGAACAGACTTTTTCTTCACTCCGCTGTCATCCTCAAAGCTGGCAAAGAAGAGAGAGGAGGCGGCAGATAGGTCCAGGAGAGAGGCAGAGCTTTGTGCTCGACAAGAACGTGAGCGAGAAAAGGATCGAGAGAAGGAGAGGGAAAGGGAGGGAGACAGGTGCACGGTGAGTGGTCTTCAGTGTATGATAACCATAATGATCTGTTATGCTGACTTCAATTTTTGGTCGGTTTCTGTTTGGCTGCAGAAATCCAGTTCATCTCATGACAGCCGAATAAGTGAAGCTCAGATGGCAGTCCATGGACGGCCTTCTTTTGAGCAGCCACCCACGACTGTAGCTGCGGTACCTCCATACATTGGCCCTGATACTCCCGCTCTACGCACACTCAGTGAATACGCTCGGCCTCATGTTATGTCACCCACCAACCGAAACCATCCTTTCTATGTGTCACTGAGCCCGGGGGACCCCTTGTTCGCCTACCACATGTCTGGCCTGTACAGCACTGACCCCAACCTCCGAGAGCGTGAGCTCAGAAACTTGAGAGAGAGAGAGTTGCGGGAGAGGATGAAGCCTGGATATGAGGTAAAGGCTCCAGAGATGGAGACAATGCATCCGTCTGCTAATCCCATGGAACACTTTGTCAGACATGGGGCACTGGCTCTTCCCCATATTCCTGGGCCTCCTCATCCCTTTGCACCCTTCCATCCTGGGCTTCTGGAGCGTGAGAGGATGGCACTAGCAGGACCACAGCTGCGACCAGAGCTGAGTTATGCTGAGCGCCTTACTGCAGAGCGCCTTCATGCTGAGAGAATGGCCTCTGTGGCAACTGACCCTGCTGCCAGACTTCAGATGCTCAATGTGACGCCGCATCACCATCAGCACTCGCACATTCACTCGCACCTTCATCTGCATCAGCAGGATCCCCTCGGTCAAGGTTTGTTTCCACTGATGAAGTATGGACCAAACTTATAAATAACAAATCAAGTTGAATATTTATCTTTTTTTAGGTTCAAGTCCCCATCCTCTTGTGGATCCTATGGCCCCAGGGCCACGTCTGGCAAGATTTCCTTTCCCTGGAGGCCCAATTCCAAACCCTCTGCTCAGCGACCTGCCTCACGAGCATGAGATGCTGAGGCACCCTTTGTTTGGTGAGTGCTTTCCTTTTGCTAAATATTACCATTATTTGCTGCAGTTCCATTCTTTTTAGGTTAGACGTTTGTATAATATGTAACTTTTCCAGGCCCTGCATATCCAAGAGAGCTACAAGGTCCAATCCCTCAGATGTCTGCTGCACACCAGCTCCAGGCGATGCATGCCCAGTCTGCAGAGCTGCAGAGAATGGCTATGGAGCAGCAGTGGTTACATGGGCATCACCTTCATGGTGGGCCTATTCCCAGTCAGGAAGATTATTACAGGTATGTTAGCATACTAAATATGTGTAATATTATAGTATACATTTCATACACTCACACTTATTCTTTACTTTTTCATGAAGTCGTCTGAAGAAAGAAGGTGACAAGCCATCGTAACCATTAGATGGTGCATGTGAATAAATCTATACTAGTACCTAAAGAATACTGTGTACCCAATAAGAGTGTAAGAGAATAATGGATGTTTGTTAATATTGGCTTTTAATATATTTTAGAAGAGAAAACCTAGTGTATTGTTATGTGCATTCCTCGTATAGCACTTAATGGGACTGTCAAAGTCTATCAGAGATTTTCATATGAACTCTTTCTACTAGTTTTATCAAATTATTGAAAATATTTATGCTGAATCTGAAAGCAACAGTTTATACAAACTGTCACCGTTTCTAAACAAGTGAAGAATAATGATATTCAGTAAACAATATAAACATTAAACAACTTTGGGCGTTGACTTTAGATATCTATGGTTTTAAAATTGTTTGAATTGTATCAATGGCATTTAAATCAGTGTTTGAATGATCGTATTGGACCTAGCATGATTCAGTCTGTTTCCACTAGAGTAGCAGTTGCATTGTTGTTTAGAAAGCATAGTCGAAGTTGGTTTACTCTTTATGCTAAATATTTGTGTAAATCCCGGAGTTTTATATATATCTTTTCACACTTTAACTGAATCTTTTATCCTTTGTTTCTGAAAGTGTAAATATTACATGTTCACAATGTTAGATGAATGACTTCTATTGATCTAGCCGTAGAGATGTTGCCCTTTGATTTAGCACGAGCTCATTAAACCATAAGCTATTACATAAAGTATTATAAGCTGAAGTACAAATTAATTTGTCAGAGGCAAGTCATTTTTGAAGAAAATACCTAAAATTAACTAAAATGTTTGAATGAAAAAAAAAACACTTTTGGCATTTTAATTGAATTTTAACAACTGCAAAGACATATAATATTTATGGGACTTCATGTAAAATTGTATCCATTACATATTTATTTCAATAAAAACTTTGGCAATTACTTTTCTTTACAATCCTTTTTGATACCACAATATCTCGAATTTCTATAAATATTACTTTTCTTTTAAAGATGAGCTACAACTCAGCACAGCTTTGAATAAAAGTGTACAACAGAGTTTCTTACAAAACTTGAATCTAAGAATGAATCATTTAAAACTATAGATCCACAGCATGTAGTGAACCATGCACATAAAACTGAACATTTCATACAACTATTTGTTTTTAATTTCAATAATAAGTTTTTGTTGTTTATCCTTAACCTAGTTACTTACAGTATGTACATGATCACTAAAGTTAATTACACATTCAGCCATTTTTGCTGTGTACAGTAAATGCAACCATAAGGAAATGAGTAAATCTTCTGACTAATTTGGGAAGGGGTAAAAATAGGGACTAGTGAAAACACATTGTACTGATATAAGCAAAAAAAACACAAATAAAGTTATTAAAGATTGTTATTTCCTTGTTGTTTTGACTGAGGTGCGTGTCGAGGCATGGCGTGGTTACTGGACCCAAAGTTAGTTTCTGTTTCTCATCACTCATCCTAAGGTGAGGCCTTCTTCTTCATATATTGTCGCAGATATTGGATTGCAGACAGAGCGCTTACATTGGCAAGGAGGGCTGAAGAAGAATGATTGATTAATGTGTATAATTGTATTTATGAAATAGTTCGAGCCAGTGGGTTTTTATTACCTGCTTTCCAGGCATCAGCTGCCTCAGGGTCAGAGGACCTCAACACCCATGAAGCGAAGGCAATGCAGACTAAACACATATCTGACTGCTTTATGGTGGAGAATATACTTTGATAATCTGAGAAATCAACATGATAGATAAATAGTTATAATGTGATATATCAACAATATTATAGTTGTGACCATATTTTTTGTTATTATACAAAATTATTAAGTCAGATGCAAACAATTACATATGTCATCCACACCCACATTACTATTTCTGTCATACAACAATGAAATAATTCATCGAACTTGCCTGATGGAACCTGGTTATTCTCCATAGAAATCTGCCTGATTGCTGCCTGTTTCAACATCTTGATGGCGAGGTCACCCCGATCCCTGACCACAGCATTTGATCCAATATCAACAGGCATTTGCTCTTCTTCAGGCGTACATCTCCATTCATCACATCCTTTGTCGAGGAAACAAATCTTCTTCACAGAGTGCAAACTTGACAAGTCTTGGGAGAAGGAGTAGGATCGATCAGCGTGCTTACAATCCATTCCCCTTAAAATAGACTGAGACACTATTTGGATGGGTGAGACATTCTTCATTGTTGTGTAGTTTGTACCCAAGAAAATACAACCAGGTTTGGGAAAGGTCAGTTCTCTGATAGTCGGATGAGAGCAGGTGAAAATTGGGATTGGCTCTTCACTACAGGGCATTAGTGGACGGTCATTAGTTGCTGCACAAAATGTGTAGCTATTCGTGAGCGAAGCATAGTTTCCCTGCAGCCCATAAACACTGACTGACATTGCTCCACACTTTGCCAGGTTAGCATCAAAAAGGTTTTCAAACAGTTGGGGGAAAGATATTTGATATAGTTTCTCTGTTAGGCACGTGATTGGTGTGGCAACTTCAAAGCCATCTATAACTTTCAACGGCTTCTCCAAAGACATGCAGCTGCTTTGATCCAAAAATGTTTGTGACAAAAAATCCTCCATTGACCCTGGTGCGTGAATATCATACATACTCTTATTTTTCCTCAGCTGTTGTGGCACAGCAAGCTCATGTGAATTTGGAATGGATTCACACAATGTTTGCCCAGGACTGTCTTTGGAGGGCACAGGCGTACCCAATTCATCTGATTCTTCACCTTTAGAAACGCAATCGCTGTGCTCACGTTGGTAACTTTTGTTATAATGGTCAGGGGTAGTGCTCCTACTTGAATTTATAAACTGCCAGTATTCCTCCTCAAAATCAGAGGATGAGAAATCACAGCTTGAACGGTCAGGTTTGGACTCATCTCGGTTTGTACTATAGTCAGAGTCAGCAATGTCCAAATCAACATTGTCAGAGCTTGCAATATCTTTACATATCTTCTCATCTGTTGTCATGGTTTCCTCAATAGGTAACATGCATCTTCCCATTCTGATTTGCAAGATGTCATTGATTGTCAATTTTTCCATTTCATCCCAGAAAGCTGAGATGGCATAGACGGGCTGCGTGTTCCCAGTGGCTCTTGCATACGCCTCTGGACTTTGCATATTCACATCAACTTGAAGTATTGATTCAGATCGTTGCCTAAAAGAGGCTGAAGAATTATCTGCAGATGTAGATATGTCCACAGACAAGCTGGAGTTACATATGGAGCTGTCGTTTATAGGGCTGTCAGCAGTGGAGGCAGCAAGTGGAATAGTCTGGGATAAATCTATGCAGGGGAGGCTACTATCTGGTTTGAAACTTCTATCTGTAACGTTTCTGTCTCTTTCTATCACGCTGTCATTCATATGTAGGGAGAGAATACAAGGTGAATTTGGCGTGGAAAGACTCCCATGGTCCCCTACAGACTCAACAGCAGAATGGTACGCTTCTGAATCATAACTAGAACTGGAATATGTCTCGTAATCTGCAAATTCATCAGATTCGATGCTATTTGTATGAGATGTTTCAATAGGTTTTCCAGAGTCTGCTCTCATTTTCAGTACATTTTCTAAGGTCAAATCAAAGTCTTCATTACGAGATTCTCCCAAACATGCAACTTGATATATTGATGGCAGTTCCTCTAGACTGGCCCTGGACTCAGTTATGGAAGCAGCAAGTCCAAAGGCAGTGAGTAGTTTTGTATTTTCTATTAACAATTCATGCACATTTTCCTTCCTACAAGAATCTTTGAGATATGGAATTGAGCTATTTATAACCTCACTACCCTTTCTGCTTGACTCTTGGAGGCTTTGCAAAACTATACCAAGTTTATTTTGATCGCTATCACTATTTACATCTCGGTCTTTCCCTTGTTCAAACACAAAGTCCAAAGTTGTGTTGCGTTTTGTTGCTTCATTGCAAGTGTCCCGTTTGATCTCACTTTCTTCATCAGAATTCTGCAAAGCCAAACTGTTCTCCATAAAGGAAACTCCAATACATGTAAACTCAGAATTTGGTTGTATTTGGGTAGTTTCAGAAGATTTCACCTGGTTTTCACTTGTGTCACTTTTTACACTTATTGATGGACTGGTCATTTCTTTATCAGAATGGTCCATGCTGCCTTCTTTATATTCAAGGCATGTTGTATTTGTGTTTGTTTCCAAGTTTTCAGTGTTTGAACAGTTCTGCTGAAGTAATTTGACTGGCTCCATATTTTCAATGCTCGCACAAATGTCAACTTTATCTGAAATATCCACTTTACAGGTTTTCTTCTGCTTCCTCTTCTTTTTTGCCACAGGGGCAGTAGCAGGGGCCAAGTGCTGGGAGGTTCCATTATCGATACTCACAAACCAGCGCTCTTTCTCTGCGCAGCTTAAGCGGCTCTTTGCGGGATCAGGTTTAGATTTTAGACCATCTCTACCTCCTTTAGAATCCACAGAAGAACCCTCCTCCTCTATAAGTCCAGGTCCCTCAGCATCCTCTCCAGCCTGCTGCTCTTTTATTGACGTATAGATTTGTGTGGTGAGATCCAGATCGTCTGCGTCACTGAGACCAGAGCTGTCTGGACAGGCCAGAGCCGCGTGAAGCACACGGCACTCCTCACTCTCCTCAAAGAAGCTGAGCCAGTCATGGTTGGAAATGTGCATGCTATGATCCAAGTCATCCATGTTCAGCACTCACTTGTGTAACATCTTTTCTGTAAATGTAAACACAAATGATCATAAAGCATGGTGGTTAAAGCTAGTTCAGTTTACTTTATTAGTTACATAAATCCATATTTGTCACTGAGGTGCAGTGTTGATGAATAAACCCTAATTTCCCCATTGTGGGATGAATAAAGGCTCTTATCTGATATGATTTATTTGTATGTCAATATAAGAAAACGTTTTCAAGGAAAAACACACATATACTTATAGCTTTACAATTATAACCTACTTACCATTTAAACAATAAAATAAAAATAAAACCTTATGTCTTTTTCCTGCTAAAGTTGACTAGTCACAAGCTTTTTGAAGACCTGTCACGCTCCTTTCCTCAATCCTCATACTTATCATTCCTTGATTTGTTATGTTAAAACCGAAAACATCACAGACACAAACTTTGGACCGTACTCCAATATGTTCCAATAAGTAAGGTTTGAACAGTTATTCTGTGGCAATCTGTCATCCAATTTCACTATATTGGCATCAACAGAGGCTTCTTCTTACTTTACTAATCAAATTATTAGTCTAGTCCAGCCTGCAGGTCGAAACGACGATACATCTTATCTATATCCAAGCATGTATTATTCTACTGCACAACAGCACTTATGCTCCTTCACAGTCCTGTTGACTGTAGACCAACATGTTTTTAACAAAAAAAAAAACAAAAAACTGTAGTTTGTTTTGATTAAAATGAACTCAAATAACAGGACACTTCATTTGGATTGAGTTCTGTCTGATTCTGCTGTTACATCACATCCAGTGGACTCTGTGTTATCTATTTGGATTGTTAAATAAACAATTGCTTCTGACATTTAAACAAGGTGTTGGACTTTGTATTGTTAACATTTTTGACACGTTTTCATCTCTAATGCAAAGCAACATCTGCTCTATCCATCTGATATTTACCTCCTTGTGTTGTTCCAAGAATGAACTTGACCTGACATACACATGCAACTCAAGTGTGGTATGCTACTCTTGTGAAAACCTTTATTCACAACTACAATGAAGGCTAGAAGGAGGTTTTCTGCTGAAGTATGTTATACAGAACATGTCTTCTGAATACTTTTTGGACTGAGCTGTATATTCTGTTTATCTATGTTACTTATAATCAATCATTACTTTACTTTCCCTCCTCTCTGTGTCATTAACTTTTTTATAACATTAAAAAAAGTGTCAATCTTATTTTTCTTTAAGGATCAATGGTAACTTACCTGTGGCACAAGGACAAAATGTCCACTTTGAAGGCTGTGGTGTGTCCCCTGCAGCAACATGCTCCAGTGTGTTGTCAAAGTCAGACTGGAGCCTCTCGGCTGGTATAAATAGAGCTGCTGGGTCACATGCAAACGTCTGTCCCTCAAGAGTGTGACTTTCAGACCAACAAAACACAAGCACGCTCCCCATTATCAGAGAAGGATCAATGAAACAAATTATTTATTTTGAGGAGAGGGACAATGAATAAGGCATGTAGTTCACTTATAATAATGAACAGGTTTTATAATTATTATTTAACAAGACCATCACATTACAAAGATTGGCTGTATTAAAACTTGGGTTACTCACGTTATTTGTTATAAGGCCATTTAATTAGCCATTTTACATCTTTATTTTATGTTGCATTTTTTTTTCCAAAACAAGCTCAACAATTTTCTTGTCATTATAGTTTGATCCCATGCAACAATAAAGTATTTTAGAGTGACATAAAAAGTGATTGAGTAGTGATCTCAGAGATGGATTTGGAGGCAGTAAACCAGAACTCCTGCTGATGGGACCAGGAGCTCGTAAATAAAACAGCTTTTTGTTTCTCCAATTAGGACAGGTGATCAATAGTTAGGTTTTCAAATTAGTGGAATGTATTGTTGATTTGCAGTGAGATAGCGAGGCCACCTCCACGACCTGAAGCTCTCCTTGTTCTTATTTACAGTAACATGTCTCAGAGGCCTGCACTTATTTAATTCTTTAATGGTTCAGTATCTTCTGTGACACCTTGAAAAAACATTTTTAGATTGTTTTCTGAAGTATTCTGTACTATGGTCTAATGATTGAGTACTGTATTCTTAACACTCATTTATTCTACACATATCGTGGTATCTCTCAAAGACAATCACCATGTCCATCTATTCTGCTCACTGTGAATATTGTATCAAACCCCTGCAGTTTTTAAATTGGACAACTTATAGTTTCATATAAGTAGGTTTATAATCAAGCTCTAGTGCATGACCTTTATTCCTATTGTCTAATGTACAATGCAACACAAACTATGGGATGAATAAAGGTTATATTAATGTCAGAAAATGCATCACAGAATTAGAACTTCTTCAGATGAGCATAAACGTTTTGCTCAGATACACTTTCCAATGCTGAACAGAACGCGTCTTCATTTCTATAATAAGTTCTAGTTTGGTCATCTACATTACTAGACATTTCACTCAAATGCATACTTTGCAAAAGGTCATCCCCAGAGTCATCAATCACAATGATCACACCTCATAGAAAAACTTTATTTTTTGCAAAGAATAATTACATCTAGTTATGATCAGGAATACAAAAAACATACAAACACATGAAAAAAAAAGAGTCACAAACGGGTCACAGCGCTTAATGATTTGGATATTGGCTTTTAGAGTTAGGGTGAAGCATAGCATTTCAATTTTACAGAAGGCCACGAGAGAGGATTAAAATGGATCATGATTTTATCACCATCAATGGCACATGTCTTTGAGCCAACGCTTCATTTGGCAAAAAACGAGTCAAGTAAAAACTCAGTGTAACGCTCATGATTACACTTAATGGCGATATATTTTGGGTAAAGTGCACAAGTAACATCGGTAAAGTGCACTGCTTTGTGATATTCTTGTATAAATACATTTGTAGAATAATATATTAAGTTGTAAAATGGTTTCAGCAGCAAGAAAGCTTCAGGTGCACAACATGAATTCTGAAATAAATGGAAAATTGTTAACCCGTTTAATCCCTGCCTAAATGTATCACAAAATATCTATTTAGATTCCGTAAAATGTTACACAAACCACCATTAACAAAATAGAAACTAAAACTAGATTAAAAATAACTTGATGTAAACTGAATCTGTGAATTTGATCAAAAACAAATCTTTGACAAAGGGATTAAAACCACATTATTGTTTGTTTACGTAGCACAGTTGTGTTTGGAATGATTCTTACATCTGAGATCTTGTCGCACACAATACATTCACTTATTTAATGTTTCAAGCATACACACAATGAATAAAAAATACAGCTACAATGTAATAATAATAGTAAACACCAATATTTAAATCTCAAAACCTGCCTTAAGCACATTCTTTTACCCTGCATAAAACTCAGTGCAATTTCACAAATAGGAAATAAATATCACATGTGGTGCATATAAAAAAGGCATCGCTATTATCTGAAGATCTTTCTTAAAGCGTCCAATCTTAAACCCAACAATAAAAACAGCATTTATCTAAAAATACAAAAAGAAATCGTATGGAATAGAATACAGTGAAGGACATTTATTGCAATTTGTAGTTGAGATTTCATGTTAATGTTGTCAAAATAAAAAATCAATCACTGAAGCCAATTTGATATATAGCAAAACCACCAACAGTCAAAATGGAATAGCAGCTACAGCATATTTGGCAAATAAGTTATACTGTCTGAACGCTTGGGCTCCTCATACCTGTGTATTGATTCATAATGACTCTACGTCTGTCCTGAGGTCTACAGCGCCCTCTACAGGTTAAGCTTGTGTAGAGTCTGCTGTAGAAATGGAGGCACTGTTCAGAGTAGAGGAAGCAGATGGTCGATCTCTACGGACATATCGTGTCTTTCTCCCTAACAAAACCAACAAATAAACACAGTTTGAGTCTTGAACATTTCTGAACAGGTATCCAATGATTTTCTAATTGGTGCAAATAATCTGCTAAACTATATAATCTGTAAACATGACAGATTTCACTGTAGAGTAGTTCAGTATTTCTGTAAGCACTGTAAGTAAGTCTGTAAGTATTTCTCTATGGCTTTTTATAATATTTACAGATAGTTGTATTGCTTTGTTGCAATATCATACATTTTAATAGTGAAATGCATTGCCATGGAGGTCATTAGCAGGTCTCTGAAGATAAGCAGTGCACGGCCTGGTTTGTATTTGGATCTAGATGTATAATGCCAAATTGTCATTATCTGTGGGGTGTGTGACAGAGGGGCTCATGGCAGATTAGCAGCCTCACATCCATATGTTGAGCACATGGCAACAGTGGCAACAATAGTGGTATACTAAACCTATTCAACACCTGCCGGGCTGCTCTATTCAAGAATGTTTACATACAATGACAAAAACAATGTCTGGTATCGGTACATCTATACCTCATACCCTTTTCAATTCTACAAATTATTGATGGTAATCAAAAAATTATAAGAATTTACCTGATGTGGGAGGTATCATGACTGCCTAAAAATGAAACGAGCAAAACAAAATGTAAACCATTTTAAAGCTATGCATTAACTTGAAATAATTGTAGGAATGCACTTACGGCCTCACTCGGCTGGAACATAAAACCTGCAAACAAACAAATGTTTAGCATTGAAATGTTGTAACATAAAATTATTCTTTTAGAAAGAAATCTTGCTGAAGATATTACTAATGTCTTACTCTAGCATTAGTTAAAATCTTAATAAGACTGTGTTCAAGTGTGTTTGAAGCCAACCTTTGTTGCGGCGATAGAAAATGTTGGGGAGTCGATTTGAACGTTTGAGGTAGAAGAAGGAGGCAACTGAGAGAATAAGGAACAAGCTGATTAATAACGTTCCAAGGAGAAGAGAAGCCGCCACGCCTGGTCCCCCTGTTTACAACCAAACAGAAATGGAGATTAACTTGGGTTATTTCAAATATCCAGATTAACCAGAATTTGTCATAAGTGAATGTCAGTATGCATGTTTCAGAGGACACTAACAGCGTCACTAGATCATGGCTGTGCCTCGTTTCCATTTAATAGGTTACTGTGTAATAGTGCGGTCAGTTAAATGAGTAAATAACAACGTTAACGCAAACCCACCGAGTTTTTTTCCACATGCTGTGGAAACAACTAGTGACGTTAAGAAAACTACAACACCACTGCGGATGAGGATAGGCCGAAAACAAAACAAAATAGGCTCAGGACTTGCATGAACACTGACTCAGACTAAGCCTTGCTGCTGCTGCTGCAGCTAAGCCCTGTAACAAACAACGTCTATGAAGAAGTGTAGCAACAAAAGTCAGATGTATGTGTTTTTGGGCTAGTTTGGTCAGATGAGACCTTATGAAAGAGATAAAAGTTGCCAACCCACTGTTATGGACAAGTGGAGTTGTTCAAGCGTCAAAAGACCATTAGAACAAGCATATTTCCTATATTTTGACTGAGAGCCACATCACTGTGTCAAATATATGCGTGGGTCCAATGTGCTGACGTGCACCTGGCTGCTGCATTGTGAATGCTTTTTCAGAGTCTTTCTCTTAAAAAGATGAATGCAATGTGACATAAACAAAAGCAGTACTGCTCATTGGTGATAACTGGTGATTACAGGACGTTATCAGTAATCTTGAGGTCACAGCCCAAATCAAGGGAGAATAGATTAGAAGAGATTCAATTGTGAGTTAACTATGCCATTAATGCGATTATGCTTATTGTTTGACAGCACAAAAATGCATCCATTAAACAATAGTCAACCCGTGTCGTATTGTTTTTAAATTTTTCCTCAAACTTTGGTATAGTAGATGAGCACCTAAAGATATAGTTACTCAGATACCACTGAAGTTCAAATCACTGCTTCTATTACATTCAATTTAATTGTTCACCAGATTCATACTGCTGCATGTTTTGGTGGTGGGGGAAACCAGAGCACCAGGAGGAAACCCATCCAGGAACAAGTCCCATAAAAAAGTTTGTATAGAATCAAACCCACAACTAGAAGTAGTAGTAATTGTAGGGCATTTAGTCCTAATCAAGACCAACAATAGATTTTCGTTTTTTGTCTGGATCTGGCGGTAATCAGAGGGATCACTATTTCTGTGTCATCAGTTTGAGGACCAGTAACTTACCGATTTTAGGCATGACTGTAGTGACCGTGGTGTGATTCCTTTTTTCCATTGTGAAGTCTATGGAAAGATGACCACATGTGAATTGACTTCTTATTGTCATGTTATTACATTGTTATTCATGTTTACTGAAGGTGCAGGCTGTGATGTTTTCCAAGTCCAAGGATGCAGAGTCGCAGAAGATGCAAACAGTGTTGCTATTCTCCAAGAGCCGCAGAAAGCATCCTGTGAACACCCAGAAACAGCATTTTAAACAAACATAAATATTCATTCATATTTTTGTGCATTTTAAAAACCAAATTCCTTATCAAAAACAAAATTACACTCGAGCAGCTGTCTTTCTCCTTATGTGTTCAATATTCACCACTAAGGAGGTGGATTTCATAGAACAGTGTTGAAAATCAATGGGAATTGAGACATTTTTTCTCTCAATTGGTTCCTGTTTGATTCTACCGAATACCTGTTTGCTTTTCCCTCAGTAAGCACAATTATAAAATAAATAAAGACAATCACTTGTTGTGTTTCAATGTATTTATCTTTTATGTGCAACACTGAAATAACCCCACTGAGATGAATAAAGGTTCTCTTATCTTTTGTCCAACGAAGCAAGTGTCTGCAGTAGCTCTATTACAAGAGGTCGTTAAAAAAAAGGTCCCATTTGAAAAAAGGTTTTCACCAAATACATTTTGGAAACCGCACATTTTCAAACAAATATTACACTAAAAAAAGCAATTTTAGCTAAAAACGATTTATTGTAAAATTAGACATGTACGCAATTCCTATTTAATTTTTACTCTTGGTCTGTTTGAATCTAAAATGTCCAAACACATGCTTTGGACATGAGATTGACAAATTATTTTTGATAATAAATGATGATAAATATCTTGTGATATTCTTTTGTTAGTTGAAGTTGTTTAGAACCCAAATTTTACATTTTATCTCAATATGTTCCAGATCAACCTGAAGTGAAGCCGCTTTCGCAGACAAAAGTATTTTTAAATCTATACAATACTTGTTTATTTCTTTTGGTAATTACAGTTGTTTGAGTCTTTAAACAGCTCCTCAGTTCAAACAGAACATTAAAACAATTGAGTAAATGAAAGGAACTATTAAACTATTAAAAGGAGAACTGTTTTGTAATGTGTAATATGTCTAGTTTCTTAATGAGTCAACAAAAACGTAGCCGTTACTTTTAATGTGCTGTGTACCTGGTTCACAGTGAGTGTCATTTGAACAAGTGCTGTTGGGTTTCAGTTGTTTGTCACTGCAACACTCCATCAAATTCTGGTGTAAAGCCTGAAAAACATAATTTACAATCAATGACACCCCTACACTGCAAGGAATAGTACAGATCGTTTTGGCCCACCTTAGTTACAGGTGTTTCTGGTCGAATGAGAATCACAGTAGCAGCCAAGACTAACAGAAATGATAAAGCCATGCTTTTACCCTAAAACGAAAAGCAGAATGATTAGAGTGTCAAAATAATCTCATACACAGCAGCAGAAGCAGCAGCAGAAGCAGCAGCAGTCATTACACACAGCAGCCAAAACAAGACTCATGACAGACTGGCTCGACAGGTTAGTGAAGCCCCAAAACACCCTAACCCTTTTTGGCAGCTTTTTCTTATCACTGTACTGTACTGTACGGTACGGTACGGTACGGTACGGTACGGTATGAGGATTTCTGTGTGTGTGTATAAATTGGTCAGATAAATACTACAAAAATGTTTTTTTTTTTTTTTCTAGTTTATTCCAAGCCGGTACAAAATGTTAAAATACAAACCATATGATTTGTACACAGTAACATCACCTCGCTATCAATGTGACATGTTGAGTCCAATAATAAGAAAAAATCGCGTATTTCGCTGTTGACTATAATATATGACCTCAATGATCATCAAAACAGACACCACCAGTTTTCCTGTGTTGAGATGTTATATTTACAGTCTATGGTTGAGATGTTATATTTACAGTCTATGGTTGAGATGTTATATTTACAGTCTATGGTTGAGATGTTATATTTACAGTCTATGGTTGAGATGTTATATTTACAGTCTATGGTTGAGATGTTATATTTACAGTCTATGGTTGAGATGTTATATTTACAGTCTATGGTTGAGATGTTATATTTACAGTCTATGGTTGAGATGTTATATTTACAGTCTATGGTTGAGATGTTATATTTACAGTCTATGGTTGAGATGTTATATTTACAGTCTATGGTTGAGATGTTATATTTACAGTCTATGGTTGAGATGTTATATTTACAGTCTATGGTTGAGATGTTATATTTACAGTCTATGGTTGAGATGTTATATTTACAGTCTATGGTTGAGATGTTATATTTACAGTCTATGGTTGAGATGTTATATTTACAGTCTATGGTTGAGATGTTATATTTACAGTCTATGGTTGAGATGTTATATTTACAGTCTATGGTTGAGATGTTATATTTACAGTCTATGGTTGAGATGTTATATTTACAGTCTATGGTTGAGATGTTATATTTACAGTCTATGGTTGAGATGTTATATTTACAGTCTATGGTTGAGATGTTATATTTACAGTCTATGGTTGAGATGTTATATTTACAGTCTATGGTTGAGATGTTATATTTACAGTCTATGGTTGAGACAGCATCTCGCTAAAGGCACCTAACTCACCGGCTGAACATGAGCTTCGTCCCCAGCGGACTCCAGAGCGGTATCTTGGGTTTGTCTGAAACAGCCAGACACGGTTTACATTCAACAGGCAGTCATTTTACTAATAAATGATAGAAAAATGTCGGAATCCCGGATTGAGTGTGTCGCTGAGACTGGACACCACGGATATATTACAATAACCTGCGGTGTCGTTTCTACTTCCGGGTTGATTTTTCACACAAAAACAGACGGAAGACATAGGTTTATTGGTTCATAATGTGATATATTTATTTGCATATTTTCAACTAGGGCTGATACCATTTCACATTGAAAGTTGAAAATAAGGAGTTTATAGTTCCAAAGGACTGACTTTATGCACGGCGTGTGGCGGGAAACCGTGAAGCGCAGCGTTTCACTTTGGTAAGAACATTTCCTTGTCATCTAACTATAATACGTCTTTATAAGTCTTACAATGACATGACGTGTTTATAAGTCTTACAATGACAATTCTATTGTAGCTCTCTAATAAATTATATAAACGGAACAAACAATCATATATTTGATCTTATACAGTACTGTGGCTAGCTAGATATGCCTCCTGTGGGTATACCTAATTATCATTAGATTAAAAGTAATACTTACCGATTACTGGACCATTTTATGTTCGCTTATTAGAAAATACAGATCAAATTGTCAAAAGTAACCCTATCCTGTTATTCTGTTTGATAACAGTTCAACATGATGTGACATTTATGTTCACATACTTTTGTTTTGTTTTACAGATATGGTGAAAATGAGTAACATGAGGACTTTGACAGAGATGATGAGTATCCCAACAGGAAACAGGTGCATACATTACATTTAGTGTGTGTAAAAAAGACTCCACTGAGGGCCGATTAAAGGTTTATCTTTTATGCTGTTTCTCACTGTCTGAAATGAATATAATTACATTATTATTAATGATTAGAATTAATCATTCACTCTCTCAATATTTTGGAATTGACCCCATTGACATAATTTGGATTGACAGTTATTTTTGCTGTTTTATTGGCAGGCCTGTCAATGCCAGTGGACTTTCCGGTGTAACAGATTCACAGTTTTTCTTTGGATCTCAGTTTTGGCCTGAAAATTCCCAAGCAGCCTCTCAGTCAATGAGTTTGTCTTCATGGAACTCTACTCAATCTCAGGAGGTAGGTATCATCATTTCAGTCAGTATAACTTTCCTTAGTTTGTTATTGAAATGAAAACAAATGTTAGGTTTACTTGAAGTTTAAGTAGAAAATAAGTTAGTTTGAGTCAGTTTTACGATTCCTTTCAGACAAATGTTGTGGTAAGGAGGTTTAGGAGGATTTTCAAATAATCTGGTGATAAGTGCTCTTCAAATAGGACCATAAAGTTTTGCTGAAAAAGTGGAGAGGGCGGTTCTTTCCTAAAATTTGGGAAAACCCTCCTATACTGTATATCTTTTAGTAGTCTCACTGATTATTACAGGACTGATAATCTCACCTTCATCAATGTTTATTTAAAAGTGTTTTTTAATTTGGACATTTGCCTTAATTAAGCAAATGTGGCTTCAGTACTTCACTTGTACTTCATTCACTTGTTTTGTTTCACAGACATTTAAAAACTTGTACCACACATTTTTACTGAACAAAATCTTTTTCTTCTACATACTGTGTGCTGATTGGTTGAGTGAATAATCTAAAATAAAGTTGTGATAGAGGCTGAAGAGTCATGCATGTGAAAACTAGTTATAGAACCAAACAGTTTTCAGAGTGAAGAACGAGCGACATGGATTTTATTGCATTGTTGTTTTTTGGGGGTTTCAAAGTTAGGTATTCCAGATTTAAACAGAAGTATTTACGGTGGATCACTGAAAAGCATCATAGGCACAATTATGTACTTTATTTTTATTTATTAGGAAAGTGACTCAACCCTTCTACGAACTTATCAAAGCAAACCTCTTCTGTTTGGAGAGAATAAAGATAAAAGCAAATTTATTAGCCTGTTAGACAAATTTGAGGAAGACAAGAAGAAGAAGAAGAAGGAAAACTCTGACAGGTATGTTTACTTTAAGGTCTGAAGACTTAACGTTAGAAAAGGTATTTTATGAATATAACAATAAATCCATGTTCCATTTTCAGTGAGAATTTGACAAACGAATGCATTCATATTCGAGAAACTCTCAACAAAGTATGTGAATCTAAATAAGACATGTACATTCAGTTGTATCATTGCAGTTATCACATGTGTAAATAATGTTTTAGATTCACCAAGTTGCTTCTGGAACAGAGAAAAATAGTGCAGTTTGTTACACAGCTCTTGAAAAGATTGAACATTTTGTTTCAGGACGTAAGTTGACTTCCCTATTTGCCCTCTAGATGGCGTCCTACTAAAGCAAATGTACTGTATATCTGAGGTTGATAAGACAATTTATGTAATCTTTTCAGTGAAGGATGACCTAAAAAGCCTTCAGAGTGATATTTTGGTGCAGCTACAGACATTACTGAACGAAGTAAATGCTCAAAAAGAGAATGTGACTGGATTAAAGGGCACGGTTGAAAAGGTCTGTCTGTATGTAGCTATTGGATTATACATTTAATGTTGTGTCTATGTTGTTGAATTAGTCACATTTTCTTATGCTTAGACTAACACAGATCTTGGCAGCTCTGTGCTCAGCCTACTGGCCAATGTGGATGGCCTAAAAAAAGACCATCAAACAGAGCGAGATATGCTTGAAGAGGCCCTTAAATTGCTGAGTTCTTTAGTCTCCAGGGATTCACCCAAACGCCCAGTGATGGTAATGGATAGCTTCATACAAACATCACCAAGCCTGACACAGTCTTTGCCTGGAAGTCTACATGAAAACCCACCAGAGAGCATACAGCCTGGCTCTGCATGTAAGGCAGATGCAACTAAGGAAAAGGAGAGGAGAGTAAGTGTGGGAAAAAGAAAGCTCAAAAGACTTTCAGTGAGGCGTAAAAAGCGTCCTCTAATGATGGCTCAAAACAGCAAGCCTGTGGTCCTTCAAGAAAACTGTAACAAGGCGCCTTTATCTGAATGCCGTAAGAGTTTCATCACGCCTCTGAGCTGCTGGTCTCAGGACAGCAACAGCTCTGCCTGCCTTACTGGGATCGACCCCATTCTGGACAGTGCAGAGGCCTCAGCATCGCCTGGAGGCCTGTGGCAGCTGTTTGAACTGGAGTTTTAGAGATCAATTAATCACAAACATTGTAACTAAAGTTATGTTTTACTTTAGCAATATCTATTTATTAAATTAAAGAAAGTATTGAAATATGTCCATTGTAAATAGGTCTTTTCCAGTGATTTTCCGCATTGATGATACTGACTTAGCTATTTAAAGATATGTGTGTAGTGCTAACCCAACAAAAACAGAAATACCAATATTTTCATGCATACTTAAAATTGTGAGTATACTTGTATATACTGAAAAGCTACTAAGATGTTTAAGTGTAAAAAGAAAACAATATCACTATACAAAATAAACATATTTACTAAAAGTGGCAAAATTGTAGTATGTACATCTTTGTTTTTAGCTTCACCTAATCCACTACACTTTTTAACAAATACAAAAACAACAAACAAATACACACAGATCTAGGACGCAGACAGAGCAAAAAACTCTATAACATGTGAGGAATATTGATTGACACGGCTGCAAACAAAACCCAGCCACATCCCAACTCCTACATCTACTCATATCAATTATGTTTAAAATTATAATTATTCAGAGATGTAGTATTGAAGCAGAGATGAGGAGCATGTGGAGGGAATGATGCTACCCCTGGAAATGAGAATATGAAAATAATTTATTCTGGAGGATGATTTATGTCTTGCAGATATATGTATATTTATCAATTGTCAGTGTGTTCCAGCAGTCAGAACCATTAGGGGCACACAAGGACATCGTTTATTCTATTTAAGTTAAATTTATAAATTACTATTTTGATGTTTAATTTCCAAGTTACTCCAGGGAATCATTGTATTTTTTGGATGCAGAAGATAAAGCAACAACCCAAAATTACTAAATTAAAACAGGTGTATATTGCGTTTAACTATATGGGGGTCTCTAGATTTGTATCCTTTGACAACAAATGGCATTTAAAAGGCCAACTCATTTTATTGGATAACTTAGACCCCCAGAATTGAGAGTTAACATTTTCAAATGAGTAGCATCAGCCATTTACCTAATAAAATAAATACACTGTACATAACCTTAAACATAATACACATAAATGTTCGGGAACAACAAGCTTATGGGGAAAAAACATCAACACTGCAATAGTACAAAGGTATAATTAGGAGAAGACAAGGAATAACCCTATCTTATCTTGTGCACATAGTGACTTAAGTGTCATTGCTTAATTAGATCTGCTGGCGGGGACATGAGTCCTCTCGGGTTGAGCTTTGCTACAAGGCAAACATCATAGTTGTCATGCATTAGAGTGCAGTGAGCTACCACTGTCCACCGCTTCTCCTTCGGATCCAACTCCAGAATGTCCTTTCTTATATTATCATGTCGATCTGAAGTTCAACAAAAACAAAAAAATAAGGTGAAATATGGATGTACTCTACAATTTACTTACGACACAATACTGTTTAGTCTGAGTCATACCTGCTCCTCTATAGTATCCACAAATATAAATTTTCTCTCCCACCACTCCTGCATTCGAAGCATTGGTACGCAGTGAAAGTTGGGGACATGGAAGCCGAGGTCCCTCTTTCCAAAAGTCTCCATCCGGGTTATAAATCTCCACAGCATCAAGACAGTGACGGGACTGACCTCGGTCTAGACCTTCACACCCTATGCCTCCTGTAAATGCAAAGAATAGGTAAATGGCTTTATTGGATTAACAAATTGTATTTTGCTATGACAAATCTTACCCATCACATATATTTCCCTATTGAGTACCACGGCTGCACAGCGGTACTTTGAGTACTTCATAGGAGCTAGTTCTGTCCACCTGTTTGAACTTGGGTCATACTCCAAGAGGCGGTTACTGAGGCGCTCAGGTTCATCATCCAAACGATACGGCTGGAAATGAGTTAGGAATAGGGTTAGTATAAAAGACAGAAAAGCATTTCCATGTAAGAATACATATATTTTGGCTATAAATACCTCTGGGGTTCGACCACCCATGACATAAATGCGCTCATCCATCTTGACAACACTGTGATAGGCCAAGGGAATGGGTAGAGGGGCTGCACTGCGCCAAGGGCCTCCTTGTAGGGACCAGCGCTGCACACAGTTAGTGATGAGATACTGGTTCTTCAACTTCATTAATCCACCCACAAGATACAGAGTGTCCCCAAGTGAAGCTAAACCATAGGAGTCACGGTACTCCGCAGATGTCATCCGCTCCCAGGTTCCTTGAGCTTCAACCTTGTATCTGTAAGAATACAGACTCAGTTGTTGTTGTCACAATATGTACTTGCATATATTGACACGTACCTGAAAATCTCAACATTTATTTCTCTTTGTCGAGACATTTTGCGAGCGTTTGCCTCTCCTGACACAATAATATCATTTTTTTCTGTCACAACCCCAGCACCAACGTGTCCCAAAGCATCTCCGTATGAAGGCGAGGTCATATAATAAATTCGATTTGTAGATGGAGCAAAGCAAAAACTGCGCTCGCAATAGTTGCCATATCTTGACCTTATTCCATCACTGTCATTGCCCACACAGAGCAGCAGATCTGTCGTCTCCATGCCATACCTCAGCTTGAGTTTTCGCGGTGCAGAACAAGGATGCATTTCTGTGACATCCAAAGCCATGTTCAACATCTCTAGACATTCAGAATCAGCCAACAGAGCTGTGTTCCTCTTCATACTTTCTCTCAAATAATCTGGATTTATGAGAGGCAGCCGCACTCTCCTCAGAAGCTCTGGGAGGTGACGACCACGTATCTCCTCATCCAAAAGACCTCCATGGTTCACCCAGCGAAGAACCACATCTAATATTGTTTCTTCTCTAAAAACATTGAGGTCATCTGATGAGATAAGTTTGCCAAGCTGATGGGCTTCCAGGTCAAGAATCTCATCATTTTGACACACTTCAACAAAGTGCTTCCTCAGGTAATCATGTGCATTGTCAGCCAATTCCTCTGCCCCAAGGTCACGGGCAAAGTAGTACACACCCAGGCAGTTAGAGGCGTCCATGTTCTCTGTCATGTGTTGCCGGCAGCGGTTAAAAACATCATCCATCTGCAACAGAAAAGAGGCAACAGCAATGCCCTGTACGTTATCGTTAGTCAGAGGCAGATCTGCACAGTACATGTAGTTCAGGAGGAGAGCCAGGCTGTCTGCTGGAGTGTCCCTCAGAAAGATCTCTCTGTTGTGGCACTCCCGAAGGCCACACGTGAACATGACTCGAAAATATGGACTGAACGCCGAGAGCACGACTCTATGGCAAGGGAAGCTGATGCCCTCAGCAACCAACACCACATCTGTCAGATGTTCAGACTCCCGCATCCTCCTCAGTTGATCCAGCAACACCACACCGTGCTTGAATGTGAGATCCATTGTTGCCACAGCTGAAGAAATAGTAATGAGTCTGTGTGAAGAGGTAGACAGAAAAATATTAATAAAAATGAAAATAAAAAATGTATTGGAAAAAAAATAATGACTAACAGGTTTTCAAGTAGCTGAAGTTAGATTGCACCTATGTATTTAATATATTCTTACTGATTCATTATTGTGCAATCAGAAGTTGTCACAAACCAAGTCAATAGATTAACCACACAAAGATTCTCTTTCACGTCAAGTTTAGTTTAGTCATTTCAAACATCTCAAAGCATAAAGCTTACCGTTGACAATAATTGAAATTAAATCCACTGTCGTCTCTTCATAAACGTTTCTCTTCTTGTTTTCAACGATTCATACAGTGCGTTTATAAGTAGAGTTACCAAGCAAATACTGGAGGCAAAGATATGTTCCCCCTCTGCCTGTGGCCTCTGAGCTACAATCCAAAAATAGACCAGGTTTTGGCAGCATGTCTATGGGTCACAAAAGTTCAAAATCAAAGAAGCATTTTCCCCTTTATTGAGAATGCCCATCTTATTAAAGTCTCTTGAAATAAGAACTTTCCAACAGTTTTTCTTGAAATTGGAGCCTTTTTTTGTTGTTGTCTCGTCGAGAACATGAGGCAATAGTATGAACATAGCAAAGCGCTCAGAATCATATTTCATGAGCGCTGTCTTAAAGTAAAAGCAGCAAAAGCATTAATCCTCTTTCAATGTTGACCAAGCTTTTATTGCCACTTAATGCAACAAACAATAACATTTAACATTAAATTGTGTTTCCCGGTTACTGGTTAACAAAGATGCCGTGACCTATGGGGAAACCAGACATTTCCATCTAACTGTTCATAGTGCAAAGTGTGTTTCATGGTTCATTAGTTTTGGAAGTCAGTGGAACAGCAAGAGCAGCAGAAATGAGCTTGTCAAACATCTATTCCAACAAGATTTCTCTCTAATGAGTCCTTTCCCCCTTCTTTTTTACCTGTCATCATTGTAACACTTCCCAACGATAGTAAATTATTACAAAAATGACAGTATATATGTTGGGGACAAAACCAATGAATTACAAGTTTCTTCACAACATGGATTCACATTCATTGGGTAAATACAGAATTGAAAGGCAAGTTTTGAATGAAGAAAGACTACAGGACATTTCTCTCAGAAAAAGCTACTCTGAAACTCATCTTCCATTCACTAATAAACTGAAAGATTCATTCCGGTGAGATTATCTTAATATTTTATGGTTTACTATTGGATATATTGTCTTTATTATCATTTTTTTCCTATTTCTTTTTTCAGCTGTTCCGTTCCTAGACTTAAGAGATGGGCCTTGAGCAATTTCCCAGTGTTTTATTGGGTACCAAAGTACTCATTGTGGGACTATGGAATGCCAGATCTAATCTCTGGCATTAGTGTTGGCATCATGCACTTGCCACAAGGTAGGGTTAAGTGTTTCTTTTATTCAGAATATAGAATTGATTTACACAGATAAACAAACGCTATTTAACACAGATTTTTCAATCCCATTCTGTAGGTATGGCTTATGCATTGTTGGCCGCCTTACCTCCTGTTTTTGGACTCTACAGTTCCCTCTATCCACCACTGATATATTTATTATTTGGAACATCACGTCATATTTCCATAGGTAAAAAAACTGAATATAAAAATTTGCTTCTAACTTTATATAAATTGCAAAATGCTGTATAGATGTTAATATTGAATGCATAATTGTTTTCAACAGGAACATTAACCGTTTTAAGTATAATGATTGGAAGTGTAACTGAAACGCTTGGTCCAGACACAGCATTTCTTGTAAATAATGGGACAAACATCACAAACGAAGTAAATGTTACAGCTCGAGATATGTATCGAGTCCAAGTGGCAGCCGCTACTACAGTTCTTGGTGGACTCATTCAGGTCTGTTAAATAATTGGCATTATGTGTTGATTCTTCTTACAAGCGTACAAGACTGCATTGATTTTTAGGTGATGCTTGGGACAGTAAAGTTTGGCTTTGTGGGAACTTACCTGGCTGAGCCTCTGGTGCGGGCCTACACCACTGCGGCTGCAATTCATGCTGTGATTGGACAAATAAAATACATATTTGGAATATCACCAATGCGAATCAGTGGGCCTCTGTCACTTGTCTATGTGAGTACTTTTCAAACCAGTGAGGCTTGTTTCTTTTTTTTAAATAAAGACACTCATATTTCGTTTTGTATTTTCCCCAGACATTTGGAAATATATGCACCCTCCTTCCTCAGTCTCATTGGCCAACTGTAGTGGTCAGTGCTGTGTCTATAGTGTGCCTTGTTCTCGCCAAGGAGCTCAGTGCTTTTCTGCGTCCGAAGCTGCCTGTGCCAATTCCTGTGGAGCTCATCACAGTCAGTTTACACAAGGACCTGCCTCATTACTCTTTCATGACACGTTAACATTCTGGGCTAAAAAAAAGCTGATGATCACAGCATAATGTCGAGGCTAATAATTACGTCCACATCACTCATTGATGACCTACCAACAAAGTCTGTATTCTTTCCTCAGATTGCAACTGCAACATTGATATCATCCTATACTCATTTAAGTAGCAACTACACAATATCTGTTGTTGGAGAGATCCCTAGTGGGTGAGATGCTGCTATATTTTTTGGTGCATTTTTTTATCTTTGTTGATGTCTACAAATGTAAAACGATGTGCTTTGTGTGTCTGTTTTAGTCTTAGTCCTCCATGTTGGCCTGATGTGACCTTGTTTCGATCGGTCATTAGTGATGCATTTGCAATAGCCATAGTTGGTTATGCCGTTACAATTTCACTGGGTAAAACATTTGCTTTAAAACATGGCTACAAGGTGGATAATAATCAGGTAAAGCTATTTGTCACAACATTAATACACAGTAAATTGATTATTTATTGTAATTACTATTGTTGTGTTTTTTGCAGGAGTTGCTGGCATTAGGATTAAGTAATACAGTCGGGGGCTTGTTTCAGTGCTTTGCTGTTTGTCCATCTATGTCCAGAAGTCTTATACAGGAGGGCACTGGTGGGAAAACTCAGGTACAAAACACAGCGTTGCCATGTACTGTATCCCATTCATCTTCAATTCAATTTACCTCAATTCAATATATTCTTGTATAGCCCTAAATCAGTAACAGTAATTATCTCAAAGGACTTCACAAAATGAAATGCAATGATAAAAAACCACACTGAGCCATTGGTCCATAATAGGGCAGATCACCAATGTCCATAAAATCATTGTTTGATCTTTTTGTAGATGGCGAGTTTGGCCTCAGCCGTGATTGTATTGATTACCATAATGAAGCTTGGTCCATTGTTCAAGGAACTCCCAAAGGTAATACATAACATGAAATGCAATCGATTTGTTTGATTTTGTTCTATTTTACTATTATAGGCAGTTCTTGCTGCTATTGTTCTTGTTAATCTCAAAAGTATGTTCAAGCAATTTTCTGACGTTGCAACACTGTGGAAAAGAAGCAAAATTGATCTGGTAAGAAATGTAGACATATTTAGATAAAAAGTGTATGACAATATATAAAGAATGATGTCCTTTCTTAGTTAATATGGCTGGTCACTTTGGTATCAACTCTCCTCTTCAATCTGGACATGGGCCTGGCCGCTTCTATTGCATTTGCTGTTCTAAGCATTGTTGTCAGAACTCAAATGTAAGTTTCTTTATAACTCCTCTGTGGATTAATTTGTTGTAATGTGGGTTTCATTGTATCTTTAATAAGGCCAACATATTCTATCTTGGGAAACATTCGAGGGACTGACCTGTATGTGGACATGGAATCTCATGATCAGGCATGTTATAGCTTGAGTATGGCACAATGTGAATTTATTCTGTTGAATTTGATATTATTATAACATATTATTTTAGGTAAGAGAGATCCCTGGTATCACAATATTCCACTCATCTGCTACAATCAATTTTGCAAATGCAGAATTATACCTCGAAGCTCTTCAAGCAAAGGTTAGTTCAAAGCTGTGTGCACTTTTTTTGTACATTATTCTTTTTATTTTATTTTAATGTGTTTTATACAGAGTGGACTCAACATCGGCAAAATGATTATATATAAGAGGAGGCAAGAGGCAAAACAAAGGCGTAGAGAAAGAAGGGCAGAAAGACGAGCAAAAAGGGAAGCTAAAAAAGAGGTAGAGCCATTTTACTTTGAATGTAATTTGTTGTTTGTGTAGTCTGTGTGTAGTTATGTATATTTAGTCTTAAACTGCATGCATAGTTATAGTTCATCAGCTACTGCTCTCAAGCCAAACAGAACAGTTCATCTCTGAATCATCTCCTTCACTGATTACTCAGAAGAGACGGACCCAGAGGGCAACTGAGCAGCTGGCTGGTGTCCCTGTGTTTTCGGTGGAGGAGGAGGCTGAACAATGGCGGGGTATGGGCGTGGATAACGTTAGTGCAGTAGAGAATGAAGTTGAGAAAATTGCACAGAGAGAAAATGGCACAGTGTTCGTAATGCCAACCACTCCAAAGACTCCCAACAATGAGTCCAGATGGGAGTACCTAAAGGGAGGAGCAGATCCAGAAAACACCAGCTTAGGTTGGTTATCAGAGCTGCCGGAAGGGGACACCACCACTCTGGGTTCCAGCAGTGAAGACACACTCAGTCAGGATCTGGAGAGGATCTCGCTTGGGTCTTTGGGAAAATGGACCTGGGATATCCACTCCATTATTCTAGACCTGTCCAGAACTAACTTCATTGATACAGTGGCCATAAAAACAATTCAAAATGTAAGTTAAATTTTAGAGAAATAAAATGGTGCTCTATTGCACCTAATACATTTTGTAATATAAATCAATTTATCTTCCAAACAGATTTTTCAAGACTTCAGTGAGATTGATGTGGATATCTACTTGGCTGGGTGTCAAAGTAAGCTTCACAAACTGCATTGTGAGTTATTTAATCTATACTTACCTTGGTTTTACATTTTACATTTAGCAACTGTGGTGGAACAGTTCGAAAGAGGCGGATTTTTCTCTGAAACCATCACAAAGAAGCACCTTTTTGTCACTGTTCATGATGCTGTACTCTTCAGTCAGAATCATCATGGAGCAACAACTTCCAGTAGATATGAGCCATCTTTGGTGTGTAACTGCGAGTTTCATGACTGATTCACGCTCCAGACTAAATGTTATGTTTCATTTCATTTCAGGACATCTGCATCAGCACAGAGCTTTAGGTCGGTCGATATGCAGGAAAATGTGAAAATATTGTTGTGTAATCTCAAATTCCCAAACAGTAAATTAAACTTTACTTATTTAGTTGTGGAATGTCTTTTATTTTTTAATAAAAACTATACTTTGAATATCAACCATTCTCTAACATTTTAAACAATGACAAGTATTTTTCAGGAAAAAAATATGGCCACCTCAAATGTCGAAGATCTAGTAGGCCTACAGTATAAGACAAGGCAACATGCATAGTCTATTTCAGGAAACGGTTCAATTTCTCAGTGCAAAGATGCATGCGGGCATTTCAGTGTCTTTACTTCAAAAATATATAGTGCATCCAAATAAACAATAATAGTAAAAACTTATTTTCCTCTAGACAAACAAAAAGTACATGTAACTGTCTAAACCAACTGTGATCCTTTCCCTGTATTGTCTTTATTCACGGGTTTCAAGAAAACAATTAGATTTTTTCCTCAAGACTTTTTCATTTGGAAGATACAATATTTAGTTTTGAAATGCCTAATTTACATGACAATAACGGATTGTTGCACAGGGAAGTTGACAGAAAGTGTATGGACTACAAGTCCTGATGGAGGCTAGAACTATGAGCATCAGACGATACAGTGGAAGTGTCATCTTCGTCAGTGTGATCCGGCTGCTGTGAGACCAGTTGCTGATACCGAGTCTGCCTCTGGTAATCTGGATCAACGTTGATCCATTTATTGGCAACCCACTTAGTGCCATGGGTGACCACACAGCCACCATGGAGAGCATACTCATCCTGCTCCCCCACCCAGCCTGCAGGCACACGGCATGATTTATTGTTGTCTATATCATTTGGAGATATTGTAATAAGATCCAATCCTACCTTTTCCATCTGAAAGATAGTTGTACCAAAAAACCGCTGTCCCTTTTTTTGGCTTCACTCTTAGGTTGCTCTTGTCACAGTTCTTTCTGGTGTCTAATAGGTCTACATCATTCTGTATTAATGACTGACACACATAAAACATGTAGTTATTTCCAGACTATACAAAAACATGCACTGACAAACAGGAGAGATAACACACTAATGAATAATAAAATAAACACTGTGTTTTACTATGTCCAATCAATCATCAATCAATCCCATAATTACGCACCACTTCATCGTACGTCCTGTTGTCTGCTACAGGGAATGCGGTCTCTCCTCCCCCTTCAACAGAGTTCAAGTAGAAGAGGACAGTGATGTACCTATGCGTGCAACACAGATTCAGAGATTTATTTACATGTGAGGCAGACAGAGTGATTTTAAGGCACCTCTCAATTGGCAGAGTCACATTCAGCAAGAGACGATGAACCGTTAATGTAAACAGCAAAGAATATATTTAATGACCTCAGTGGTCTCACCTGCACGATGTCTCAAAAGGAGTGGAGGTGTTCACTGCTAGTCGAGTGTGTGTACAGGCCGTTTCAGGGTAGACTGGCCCACTGTCGTGATGGGCATGGTAGTGACCCCCCTCCTCATAACGAACCACTTGTAAAGGCTCACTCAGATCCACCAAGGCAGAGGGGAGCCTGGTTAGTCGGATTACTCTGAATAGAAACAAGTATGGCATGAGAGGAGAAGCTGTGTATTAAAGTGTATGTAAAACAGTTTGTGTTACCTCTCTTTGATGTCTTGGAGGACCTTGTGTGCCCCTTCGCCCTGGTAAAGCCATGTATGCCGGCTATTTCTCACAAGCTGACTCTTCTTGACCCCTTTTTGTTGCAAGAAGCGCTGGAAGGCATCACTGCTCAGCAGTCTGAATTCTTCTATACTCAGCAAACCTAATGCGACACACTCAAAATATGAATACTCAGTTAATTCATCTGTTGGCTTTTTCAGAAGAATGTGATCGGTTTTATTAAGAAATGTAGTAAGATCATACCATCACCATTCTTGTCAGCTTTGAGACCTGCATATATTTCCCTCAAAGTGTCTGGTGTTAACCAAATGCCATCCCTCACTCGAGAATGAGTTAGAATCTGGGAAGGTGAACCAAGGCAAAAATAGTAAACCAGTTTAAATCAAGCTCTTGTTGGTTAGTCTGCCATGCCAATACCTCAGTCATTTGTAACTGCTCGTCTTGATTTACATCCAGAAGGTTGAAGATTTCCTCAGGGCTAAGGTTGAGTTCCTTAACTAATTCTTCATGGTCCCTCTGAACCATGAGCTGGCTTTCCATTAAACCTTTCAGATGAGCCAGCTGCATTACGACTTGGCACTCATCCTCCGACAAAAACTCTGGAATTTCTGTAATATTTAGAGGTGAAAATAACATAATTTGTATTACGCACACACACATTTTAAAGATAAATTATATGAGCCAAACGTGGTAGTTTGAATCACAACTTTCGGGTTGTCTTACAAATAGTTTGATGAAGCTTCCTGTGTATCTTACCAAATAGAAGGGGCTTCATACTGAGTGTCCGCATGAGATGGTCTTTTCCTGGTGTCAGTGACACCTTCTGTACATGACCAACCTAAGATCATGCCAAATCAAACATGATTGGTTGTGACTTCAACATGTCCCCATTTCGTTGTCCAACGATAGTATTTCCATCACAGGCTACTTACTCGTATGCCCTCGATCCTTGGAAGTGAAAAATCACGTTGGTGTAGAACTTTAGATGGCGCATCTCTTGAGTTGACATTCGAGGGGTCAGTATCCCGAGTGTCACGACTTCGGCTATCATCTTCTTGTGCACTGTTGTAGTGCACGTAGAATAAGAGTGCAATTACATTGACTATATAAACGTGAAAAAACACCATTACAACCACAAAGTAAGAGCGAGAGCAGATACTGGTCTTGTTGCACAGGCGCTCGGTCTGCTGGTTGAGAGGCAAGGTCGCCCTCCCTGATGCGCCCGCTCCCTCCTCAGCATCCTCTCTGCTCTGAGCAGTCATTTTATTGGACAGAGCTGCAACGCCACTGCAACTCTCCAGAACATAATCCGATGGTAATCTCCCATTTAGATACACTGGAGCAGTATTATCATTTAGCAGAACCGAAGCTGCAGAACCAACGCGATACACAGGTTCCCTTCGGTGCTGTACGTACGTGACTGTACGTGACTGTACGTGCAGACACCACTGATAACCACGCATCCAGCAGCGCACTGCGTAACATGGGTGGGACTGTTGACTTCAGACAATATAATTCGATAATTGCATTAAATGAAAAAAAGGAAAATACAACTGAAATAAAGTATTATGATTTGTATGACCTAATTACCGTTTTATTAAACAGTGGTTATATTTTGTTTACTGCTTGTTAATCGCTACACTGGCCTTTACCCAATGTACTGCTGCCCTCTAGTGAGCATTATTGGGAAGGTTGTGAATCGATTCTTTTGTTACATATTTTATAACAAATACTCTTCTTACATAACGTAGTGTATTAATGTCAACAAAGACGCCTACACAATATCTCTCTCTCTCCCCCTCTCTCTGTCCCTTTCTCTAAATATGTTACATGCATGTTAAAATATGTTCAGGAAGGACATATTGTTCTTAAAATATGCTTGGTAAACGTTTAGTTTGCCTACTTTTAGGTGCTGAAGAACAGTACATGGTCTGAACAGAGGTTGAATCTTCCTGTATCAATATTTATATTATTATATTTTAAGGTCTGTTTATTGTATATGAGATCCATATACTTTAGATTCTCCAAACTCTAGATAAAGACCAACAACATTTTAGTGATTTTTTGATAAATATTCTATATTTTCAGTTGTTCCATCTTAGTAAATACACTAGGTTAAGTTTGAGAATATATTGGTGCTCTCTAAGCTACGACAGCAATGTGTTATCTTGAAAAAATATATAATATATATATAAAAAGAAAAAAAGTTCCACTCACCTTTGGCCCTCCGCCGGCGGTTATCCCTCTCTAAGATTGGGTCCTCTACCAGAGGCCTGGGAGCTTGAGGGTTCTGCGCAGTAACTTTGCTGTTCCTAGCACTGCACATTTCTGGACCGAGATGTCCGAGGTTGTTCCAGGGATCCGCTGTAACCACTCTTCCAGCTTCGGGGTCACTGCCCGAGTGAACCAATCACCACGGGCACTACTGTCACCTTTACCCTCCAGGCCCTCTCCAGCTCCTCTCTGAGACCTTGGTATTTCTCAAGCTTTTTGTGTTCTTTTTTCCTGACAATCGCTTGGAATTGCCACGTCCACCACCACGGCTTTCTTCTGCCCTTTGTCTACCACCACGATGTCAGGTTGGTTCGCCATTACCATTCGGTCGGTCTGTATCTGGAAGTCCCACAGGAAGTCCGCACGCTCATTCTCCACCACCTTTGGAGGAGTTTCCCACTTAGACCTTGGGGTTTCCAGCCCATATGTAACACAGTCAATCTTTGTCACCAGGGTACAAGGAGGCCACGACAGTTAAAAGTTTTAAAAGGGATTTATTACAAAAATAGTCTTTAAAAAGTATGATAAAAAGCTATTAAGTTAAAACTAGAGAGGGGAGAGGCTGGAGCTAAAACTTAAGGATGCGAGCTTTAAAAGGTCAGGGTCCAGGCAATGCAGTGGTTTGGCCGTGCTGGTATGGCTTTGTCCCCAGCAGGCCCCAGGTGCTGCACAGAACGATTGGCCTTCGGACCGCCTGGAGGACCCGAGCTCTGTTTCGCACCAGACAGAGGGAGAGTGTCAGTGAACATGACAATAATAACAGTAAAACAAGTAAGAAGTCTGCCAATTTAAAATGAATAGGATAGGACTGACCTGTTTCGCACCAGACAGAGGGAGAGTGTCAGGGAGAGGGAAAAGTGCACTGATAATTTAAAGGGGAAGTACAACCCACCACAGCTGCCAACTAATTAGAAAACATGGCCATTGGCCCACACCAAACAAGGAAACACACAAAAGAAAACCACACCCAAACTCAAAGTGGCAGTGAAGTGATGATACTTGTACCCTGTTACACATACTCTGCACAGATGTTTCTGTACACTATGCCAGCCACTTGGTTATGGCGTTCCATGTAGGCCTTCCCTGCCAGCATCTTGCACCCTGCAGTTATGTGTTGGATCGTCTCAGGTCCCCCTTGCAAAACCGACACCTTGGGTCTTGTCTGGTGTGGTATATCTGGGCTTCTATCGATCTGGTGCTCAGGGCCTGCTCCTGTGCAGCCATGATGAGTGCCTCTGTGCTGTCCTGTAGGCCAGCCCTTTCTAGCCATTGGTAGGACTTTTTGACATCAGCCACTTCTGCTACGCTTCGGTGGTACATACCGTGTAGGGGCTTGTCCTCCCATGATGGGCTCTCCTCCTGTACCTCCTCATCTCGCCACTGTCTGAGACATTTACTGAGTACGTCATCCGTTTTGGCCTTCTCCATGATGTACAGTAGTTATGGAGTTTGGATGTTTCGTCCTGGACAGTGGCTCTCACACTCACTAGTCCTCGGCCTCCTTCTTTACGGCTTGCGTACAGTCTCAGGGTCCTGGATTTGGGATGAAATCCACCACGCATGGTGAGGAGCTTTCGTGTTTTAACATCCGTGGTCTGAATCTCCTCCTTTGGCCTCCTGATTATTCCTGCAGGGTATCTGATTACTGGCAGGGCGTAGCTGTTAATTGCCCGGGCCTTGTTCTTGCCAGTGAGCCGACTCCTTAGGACCTGTCATATTCACTGGAGGTATTTGGCAGTTGCCGCTTTCCTCGTTGCCTGTTCGAGGTTGCCATTTGCCTGTGGTATACCGAGATACTTGTAGCTGTCCTCAACGTCTGCTATTGTTCTCTCTGGTAGTGAGTTCCCTTCTGTGTGGACTACTTTGCCTCTCCGAGTCACCATCCTGCTACATTTCTCGACTCCGAATGACATCCCGATTGGAGGGGACTCCACCCTTCACAGGGTCTTTCATGATCAGGACCGTTCGCCCTTTGGTTAGCCATTCCGGGTGAGTCCCATCTCTCAGCAGCTGGTTTATTTGTGCTGCTAGGCGCTCATGGAGTGATGTAAGTGTCCGTAGCCAGTAGGCATGGACCATATCAGGGCCAGGTGCTGTCCAGTTTTTCATACCTGAGACTCATTCTCGGATGTCGGCTTCTGTGATGGTAACTGAGTTCCGTTCTGGGAGGTGGCTGTGCTACTCTCTCAGGGACACCAGCCACAGTGTGTGTAGAATAATAAATTAGCTTCACCTCACAAATATCTTTAATGTCTTTTAATTTAGTATCTTCATGTTTGTGGTAGTAAAGAGACAAAATGTGTTTTTAAAGGCCTTGTAGGGGTAAATCAAACACCCTGAACAAGAAACCAGTGCACATAAAGTCAAAAGCAGAGTTTTCCATGTCAGTAAGATTTGTGAAAATTATGTTTCATCTCCGCTAATGAATCTTCCAAGATTGATGAAGATTTTAAAATGATACAATACTCAGAGTAATGCATTCACTTTGTGTTTATTGATGTAGTTTACAGAAAACAAGACATGCATATTATATGTAGACCTTGTCACTGTTGTTTAGGTTCTTCATTCCTCTTCGTCTTTGGTCTAAAATAGAAAATGTAGGTTGGATTGAGTAATGTTCATGAAAAAGTAAGTGATGCATGTTGTATAATTTACCTTGACAATTTCACGGCTTCTAGCCCTGAGCTTGTTAACCTGCGATTCAGCAATGTCAGCCCGTTCTTGGGCCTCCTCCAACTCATGTTGCACCTTCCTGTATCTGGTCAGGTGAGTGTTGGCCTGCTCCTCCTGTCATTATTCATAGATTAGTCAAATGAGGGCTAATGTCTTTTGGTTTAAAATGAGTTATAAAGGCATATGGTTTACTCACTGCGTCTTCAGATTGTCTCTTGTAAGCTTTTACTTTCAGCTGAAGCTTATCTACCAACTCTTGCAGTCTGCTAATATTTTTCTTATCTTCCTCAGTCTATATTAATGGGGGGAAAGAATTATAGGTATAAGGTATATGACGAGACCAGGCTTGTGTGTGGTGGTATGAGTAAAAGAGGAAATCAGTTTTTTTGTCAGTATGTTCAACACAGGAGTTTTTAAATTACCTTGTAGGTAAGTTCTTTCACTCTTCTTTCATATTTTCGCACTCCTTTTATGGCTTCAGCACTGCGCCTTTGCTCAGCATCAACTTCATTCTCTAATTCTCTGACCTTTTTTATAATAAAAGGTTAGCATGATAATGTGCACAGTGTATACATAAATGATATGAAGGCCATAACCTCACCCTAGCCTCAAGCTTTTGCAGCTGCTTCTTTCCGCCCTTCATAGCCAGGTTCTCAGCCTCATCCAGACGAAGCTGCAAGTCCTTCACAGTCACCTCCAGGTTTTTCTTCATCCTCTCCAGATGAGAACTGGTGTCTTGCTCCTTCTTCAGCTCCTCTGCCATCATGGCGGCCTGTGATAAAACAAACACCTTAACATGGGTTCACTGATGAAGGTGAGGTGTTCCTCTTTGTTGTACTCACATCAGTGATGGCTTTCTTGGCCTTCTCCTCAGCATTTCTAGATTCCTGGACTGCATCTTCTACTTCTCCTTGAATCTGAATCAGATCAGCCTCCAGTTTCTTCTTTGTGTTGATCAAGCTGGTGTTCTAAAGGTAAAACATTTTAAACGAAACTGTACTTTTAATTCACTCAAAATAGACTTTCTTTTGTTTTACTTGAGAGTGGAGGAGTCCCACGCGCTCGCTGGCGTCCACCAGCTCTTGTTCAGCCACTTTGCGGCTTCTCTCGGTTTGTTCCAGAGCAGCTCTCAGCTCCTCGATCTCTGCCAGCATCAGGTTGTTCCTGCGCTCCACCATGGCCACTTGCTCCTTCATTTCATCTTGGCCCCTGAGGGCCTCGTCAAGGTGCAGTTGTGCATCCTGTTGAAGACAAAGTAATAGTAATAAATCCAGTCTGACTGTTTTCACCTGAACAGTTGTAGCACAAGCACCTTGAGCTGGCCCTGCACATTCCTCAGTTGTTTCTGTGCTTCAGCAGCCTGGCGGTTGGCATGGCTCAGCTGAATCTCCATTTCATTCAGGTCTCCCTCCATCTTCTTCTTGATTCTCAGGGCATCGTTTCTGCTCCTGATTTCAGCATCCAAAGTGCTCTGCATGGTCTCAATGACTCTCTGGCTGTTCCTCTTGATCTGCTCAATCTCTTCATCCTTTTCTGCCAGTTTCCTGTCGATTTCACCCTTGAGCTGTGTCAATTCAAGCTGAACACGAAGGATCTTGGACTCCTCATGCTCCAATGTGGCCTTTGGAAAAATAGAAACATAAAAATTATAATAACTAAACCTCACACAAAGTTTCTGTACCTCGTCCATCGGCTAATTCTACTTCTGGGACCACCCCCATCGGCCCGGGGTGGTATTGCAAGCATGTCAGCGCACGTCATTTTGGCCACTTTTGAGCTGGGACCCTCCCCCACTGATTGTTACCCATAGATGGCTTCATTCCGATTCATTACAAAGCGTGTTTTTGTTTGTATTCCAAAAAAGAATTTGTCGTGACCACGCTTAGAAAAAGTAACACCTAACTTGTCATCCCTGACATGTATATTTTTCCCTGACACTTGCATGTTGAACTGTGAGCATTCTCACACTCACATTAAAAGGGAAATACATCCAAATAAATTCCATATTTACATACTTAAACTTCAGCTTACCTCAGCTTCTTCAAGGGAAGTCTGTAATTCAGATTTCTCTATTTCTACAACCTTTTTCCCCTTTTCCAGTTCATGAATGGTTTTTCCATTTTCACCTATCTGTTCGGTGAGATCAGAAATTTCCTCTGCAATAAAAAGTTTAAGTTACTAAAATACAAGATTTACATTGCAATAATAACAAAAAAGTGAGTACGTTGCAAGTTTTTGTTTTCTCTCTTCAGAGTCTCCAGATGGTCCAAAGTCTCTTCATAGGAGTTCTTCAGTTTAAACATTTCTGTGCTAAGAGAGCGAGCTTCTTTCTGAGCTCCCTCCAGTTCAGCCTGGCTCTCCTCATACTTCTGTTTCCATTCTGCAAGAACCTAAACATGATTGAACATTTGTCACTCAGATGTGTTAGACACTGATTAGAGTCTAGTTCAATACATCAGTACAAACCCAACCTTGTCAAAGTTCCTTTGTTTTTTGTCCAGTGTAGCTGCGAGACCATTCGCTCTTTCCACATCGATCATCAGGTCTTCCACTTCGCCCTGAAGCCTCTGCTTGGTCTTTTCTAGAGAGGCACATTTTGCATTCACAGCCTCAATGGATTCCTCTGCATCCTGGAGACGCTGTGCCAGCTTTTTCCTATAAGGACAGATCTGTTTAAACACATTGCTAAAGAAGACAAAAGCCCTGTGGCTGTAAACTCACTTGGCCTCTTCCAGCTCCTCAGTGCGCTGAATGGCATCAGTCTCATATTTGGTTCTCCACTGAGCCACTTCACTGTTGGCCTTGGACAGTGCTCGCTGCAGCTCGGCCTTGGCCTCTTGCTCTTCCTCATACTGCTCTCTGAGCAGGTCACAGTCATGACGGGATGACTGCAGGCTGTGAGCCAGGGCATTTTTAGCCTGTAACACATTTTCTTTTGTTAACAAATTTATCTGCTGCTTTCTGCCTTTATGAAGTTACTTTACCTTAACTTCTTCCTCAATATGCCTCTTCATCTCCTCAACCTGCTGAGTATAAGCCTGTTTGCTTCTTGTCAGCTGTGAAATCAGAGCATCCTTTTCTTCCAGCTGGCGACTGATTTCACCTATAAACAAAACATACTGTAATTGTAACATCTGTGGGAAGTATAATCCTTTAAATAAAGATAAAGGATCTTTGCAAATACCATGTTCAGTCTGGAGTCTTGCTTTATTAACTCCAACGTCATTCAGTTGTCGAACATTTTCATCATTTTTTGATTTTAGCTCACTGAGCTGATCCTCAAGACTGCGACACATTTTCTCAAGGTTAACCTGAAATGTAATAGTAGTTAACTATGTACCAATGAATGGCTAAATATTTTAAAGAGTACTTTAGCTTTAGCAACAGCCTCCATGTTGCTTGTAAGATCGTCAATCTCCATCTTGTATTCACTCTTCTCCTTCTCCAGTTTTTGCTTGACTCTCTGGAGGTTGTCAATCTGCTCTCCCAGTTCAGCCACACTGTCAGCCTGCTTTTTGCGCAGTGCAGCAGCAGTGGCCTCATGATGAAGAGTGGATTCTTCCAGATCTCTCCGTAGTTTTTGAAACTCGGACTCACGCTTTTTATTCATCTCAATCTGGACGGATGTGGCTCCGCCAGCTTCCTCCAACCTCTCGCTGATCTCCTCAAGTTCTCTTGAGAGATCTGAGCGCTGTTTTTCTACTTTAGCCCGAGCCGCTCGCTCAGCTTCAATTTCCTCCTCCAGCTCCTCAATACGAGCCTGGTTGAACACACAAAGCATGTCATACAATATTTGGGAGGGTCTTACTAAAATGTAAATCGTTCATGAGAGGCTCACTTGTAGCTCCTTGATTTTCTTTTGAAGCTGGATTTCAATTGCCTGTTCATCTTCAATTTTACTGAGAAGCTGGCTCATCTCAAAGTCCCTCCTTTGAATTGATATTTAAAGTCATTAAATTAATGGCACAAAATTATAATATTTTTTTAGATATTTTGAACCTACTTCTTAATTTTCTCCTCAGACTGCTGCTTGTCGTTTTCTAGATCCATGATGGTTTCATGGGCCAGTTTAAGATCTCCTTCAAGTTTCCTTTTGCTTCTTTCAAGATCCATGCGAATCTTCTTTTCTTGCTCAAGAGAGCCTTCCAGCTATCAAAGCGCAGAAATAGTTTGTAGATTCAACAATAACGTTCATGAGATTAGGGTAGAGTGATTTAATGACTTACATCATCAACTTGCTGCTCCAGTTTGGTCTTGGCCTTAGTCAGAGAATTGACTTTGTCTTCCTCTGCCTGAAGGTCATCCAGAACCTGTTGATGGGCCTCTTGGAGAGCCTTCTTCTCCTTGGTTAACTTGACAATAGTTTCATCTTGAGAAGCCATTTCCTCAACAAGATTTTTTACCTTAAAGAACATAATCAAGATGTTTATTTGAGAACATCCACCTAACATAATAACACATATTCAGACATTTAGGACAATTCTAATTGGCTTTTTTGTGATTATAGGAATGAAGCTAGATTTGAGACACACTTCAACACAATAATTCATAAATGAAATTGTGAAATTACAATCCAAGAGCTGAGCGCTGGTATCTTGTCCTCAGATAACTTATGTGAACATTACATTCTAATCTAAATCTATTATAACTCCTGAAAAGTCAATTTGAGGCATTATCAATAACAATACTGGCCAGTATTTTTTTTATGATGGCTGAAGAGAATTATTGTAGAACCTTGTTCTCTGTTGCATGTTTTTCTTTCTCCACTTTGGCCAGAGTGAGCTCCAAGTCGTCAATGTCCTTTTTCAACTCGGAGCATTCATCTTCCAGCTTCCTCTTCTTTGCCGTCAGCTCAGCATTGATCTCCTCCTCATCCTCCAGTCTCTCAGACGTTTCTTTTACTTTGGATTCAAGTTGGATTTTGGATTTGATCAACTGCTCACATCTTTCCTCTGCATCGGAGAGGTTTTCGCCTTCCTAATTTTGGGGGTGGGGATTGTTGTAAATAAAAATAAAAATAATACATACGTAATAAAACATCATGATACATACAGACTGAATTTGTATCTGCAAGTCATTCTTTTCTTGGAGCAGAGTAACCATTTTCTCTTCTAGCTCCTTTTTCTTCGCTAAAGCTTTTGCCAGATCCTCCTTCGTTTTCTCAAAGTGTTCCTTCATTTGGGCCATTTCCTTTTCAGTTTCTGCACTCTTCAGAAGAGGCTTGATCTTAAAGTAAAGCTTCATCCATGGCCATGTTTTGACATTCATGAATGAGCGGATGTTGTACTGGATGGAGAAAATGGCTTCCCTAGGAGATACAGTATAAACTTGATATAAATTGTTCTTACTTGTGTGTGTATAATTTATAATATGTACTTACCTGCGCTCCATCATTTTGACAAACTCTCTCCTCATTAAGAAGCCTCGACATAAGGCCTGAGTCATAGTCACCAAAATAGCAAGTTTTTCATCTCGCATTTCTTCCAGTAATCCTAGCAATCCAGCTTTAAAGAACACCTGAAACACACAAATCTGTTACTTGTTGTTATCAAAGGGCACAACATTAACAAATTATTTCATATATTCAACCTTTGTGTGACCAAATTTGTATTGAGTGCGATCGACATCAATAGAGCCCAAGAGTTTCTCTGAGGCCTTTTTGTTGTCAATAAACTGTCCCTCTGGGATGACACTGGCATTCAACACTTTGTATCTAGTGATCAAGTATTGATTACTATTACAAAAAACCCAAATCAAATATAATGTCAATGTTACCTCTGCTTGAAGTCTCCGTATTGGATTCTACTGGGGAAGCCTTTTCTGCAGATGCGGATTCCCTCCAGCACTCCATTACACCTCAACTGGTGGATGACCAGGAAGTTCTCCATAAGACCTAAACCAAAATGTTTTTATGGTCATTGTCATGTAGAATTGATTTGATTGAATGTTATCTTGTCCAGCCAACCTGGAGTTTTAGATTCATTTGGAATCAAACAGCGCACAAAATGTGGATGAGTGCTTCTTAAATTGGTCATTAACTTCCCCAAGTTTTCCTGAAAATATTGAAAAACAATTAACATTTATGTAAAAAAAAGTTTAAAAATATATGCTAATTCCATTTTAGCATGCTAGACTGAGAATATATACCAGAAGCAGGTCTGCAAAGCTATTGGCTCCCAATAGATCTCTACATAATGTTTTGGGTCTACCTGTATTAGCCGTCACAAAATATGCGTATCTGCTTAAAAGTGCAACTTACCCTGAACAGAGCTGAGACTGTCTGAAATGAACCACCCTTTTTCTTGGCACCTTTTTTTCCACTTGCCTCAGCTGCAAAGAAAACATGGAAATACATTTTATACTTCTAGATTTGATATTTCCTCTCATGACTTTTGTTTATCATCTTTACCGTCAGCGGCGGCATGAGATGCATAGAGCATGGCCAGCAGCTTGACTGAAGACTTCTGATAGAGCTGGACCACTGAGTCGTTCAGAGGGTCCTTGTTTTTGTCCAACCAGCCCGTCACATTATAATCCACAGTGCCAGCATAGTGCACAAGGGAGAAATGTGCCTCAGCTTTTCCTTTGACAGCCTTGGGTTTTTGAAAAGAGGCAGTTTTTCCCAGATGCTGGTCATACAGTTTGTTTTTGAAGGTAGTGTCTGATGCCTTTGGAAACATACACTCCTCTTCAAGGATGGAGAAGATGCCCATTGGCTGTCAACACAACATAATGAATGTCATTGTCTTCTGTCAAAGTACTATTTAATAGATTATTTCAATGATACCTTCTCAATAAGCTCAATGCAGGCAGCCAAGTCCATCCCAAAGTCAATGAACTCCCATTCAATGCCTTCTTTCTTGTACTCTTCTTGCTCCAGGACAAACATGTGGTGGTTGAAAAACTGTTGCAGTTTTTCATTTGTGAAGTTGATGCACAGCTGCTCCAAACTGTTGTACTGGTAAGAAAATAAGAATTTTTTTTTTCTGAAAATCACAGGTCAAATTTATCTTTATAATGAATCTTACATCAAAAATTTCAAAACCCGCGATATCCAGGACACCAATGAAAAAACTCCTCGCCTGCTTCGTATCCAGCATTTCGTTAATGCGGACAACCATCCAGAAGAACATTTTCTCATAGACAGATTTGCACAGTGCTGACACATTGTTGTTGACCTTGATGATATTAATAGAAAAAATTGCATATTTTGTATTAATCATTTTGTGTCATATCGGATTCTGATGTGTTCTTTTTTTGTTAAGTACCTGTGGGACTGTTTGACCTTTGGTCACAAACTCATTCCCAACTTTTACCCTGGGATAGCAGAGCGCCTTTAGCAAATCAGCAGAGTTGAGACCCATGAGGTAGGCAATTTTATCAGCCACTGAAAGAGTACTCAGGTTAGGTATATCAATTGTATTCAAAAAGTTAGTTTCTTTATTGTTATGAATTTGTTCTTTTAAAAGTGAATTACCCTCCGTGCCGTCAGGCTCAGCCTGTTCTTCTCGTTGCTTCTGCTTGAACTTCATGTTCCCATGATGCATCACAGCACCTGTCAGTTTGTACATGCTGGCCTTTTCTTCAGCTGTGAAGCCTAGGATGTCAATTGCAGTCTTTTACAGAAAAAAAGTTATCTTACATTAAAAATATTTGTATGTACTGTATTTATGTGCGTGTAAATACATCAGTAGCGATGAATTCTTCAACATCATTGATACTCTTGACAGTGATTTCTCCGTGACTTATCATATGGTAGTCATATGGGTTTGTGGTGATCAGAAGAGCCTCTGAAAGAAATCAGCGGTATTATCAACAGATAAAATACAATATTTTGTGTGTCCTTTCTAACCTAACAGTTCAGGCTTGTGTCCTGTGCAGAGCTGGTAGAAGATGTGGTAGCTCCTCTCAGCAGACAGTTGGAAGGTCACTCGAGATTTCTCCAGCAGGTCTGTGAAACAGCAGTGACTGATAATATATAACTAGGTTTAATTAAACTATTATTCATCTGAAAAAACTGTCTTACATGTTTCAATATCAGCAGACGCCAACTTTCCAGTTGTCGCAAAATGGATTCTGATGAATTTACCCTAAATAGTATGAAAAAGGACAAGTGATCAGGTCAAGGTTTTTTGGCTTTTTCTTGTCACATTTTGTCCCTGTTTGACCACAGTCAGAGCTGTGTTTGTACCACCGTAAGTCAGACCTGTTCCCAGTGCTGGTTGGCCTCCACAAGGGCTGCCCTTTTTCACCACTTCTGTTCACTGTTTTTATGGACAGAATTTCTAGGGCAGAATTTTAAGGGTCGGAGTGGGTTCAAGAGTGGGGTTAGGATGTAGCTTTGATAGATGGTTTGTAGTAGTGTGTGCAGCGATGCGGTCTGTTTTGGTGAAGAAGGCACTGAGGCGAAAGGCAAAGCTCTCAATTAACCGGTCGATCTTCACTCCCACCCTGAACTATGGTCAAGAGCTTTTGGTAATGACTGAAAGGATGAGATCGCGGATACAAGCAGTCAAAATTAGCTTCCCCCGCAGAGTGGCTGGGCGCTCCCCTGGAGATAGGTTGAGGAGCTCAGTCACACAAAAGGAGCTCGGTGTAGAGCCGCTGTTTCTCTGTGTCGAGAAGAGCCAGTTGAGGTTGCTAGGGCATCTGTTCCGGGCACCCTGGGGAGGTGTTCCGAGCAATGTGGAGACCACAGGGAAAACCCAGGACACGCTGGAGGGACTATGTCTCTCAAATGTCCTGGGAATGCCTCAGGATTCCTTCAGATGAGCTGGAGGAAGTGAGTGTGGATAAGGAAGACTGAGCTTCTCTGCTTTGACTGCTGCCCCCGCGACCCGGCAATAGATAAAGCCAAAGAAAATTAAAGGAGGAATGGAAGTTGTCTATGTATAGTTTTAAGAACTTACAAAACGAGATGAGTTGTCATTTCTCACAGTCTTGGCATTGCCATAAGCCTCCAGCAGTGGGTTTGCAGCAATGATTTGATCTTCCAGCGACCCCTGCAAATTATGTCATATCGTGTTAAAAATACTATTGTGTTGATGGCATTAAATGATACAACTAATGCACACCTGCATTTTGCTTGAAACTGTCTCTGCCTTTTTTCCTCCAGACACTGCAATTGTTGCAAAGTACTGGATGACACGCTTAGTGTTGACTGTCTTTCCTGCTCCGGATTCTCCGCTAAATGGGAAATGGGAAAAAGACACTCACTCGTTTATTATTGTTGTGAAACAGTTCATCAAAAGATAGTAAGAAATGAAAACATACGTGATCAGGATGGACTGGTTTTCCCTGTCTGTAAGATATCAATATTATTAGTGAGTTTTATGATTAAAACAAAGACATGCAGTGAAGTCAAAGATACCTTGGAGCATGAACTGATAGGCATTGTCAGAGATGGAGAAGATGTGGGGAGGAGCCTCCATTCTCTTCTTGCCTCTGTATCCTGACACAACTGCTGCATCATACACTGGGAGCCACTTGTAGGGGTTCACAGTCACACAGAACAGCCCAGAGTAGGTCTGTCAGAACCCACACAAACAGACTTAAGACCAGCACAAGTTTCCTGTTTATGAAGTGCTGTCTTCACACTCACGTAGATCATCCACGCTGCATAACGCTCTTTGAGGTTATACAGCACAGAGGGCTCACTCAGATGTGTCATCATGGCCATGTCCTCAATCTTATCGTACTTTGGAGGGTTCATGGGGTGGATGTCATCCTCTTTTACAGTCAGAGTCTGTAGTAAATATTCAAACCGTTGCTTTTTTCCATTTAACAAAAAAGGTAATAGTTAGTTTGTCTCACCTTCCCACAGAGTGTCTCAACTGTGGCTTTCCCTCCGTCTCTCTTGATAAGTTTCCCTTTCAGGTACATCTCTTTGGGCTCAGCCACAAAGTATGCTGTTTTAGCATCAAAGGGGCTGTTCTGAGCCTCTATTCGCTCTCGTCCTGGCTTACGGAGGTATATGGCTGCAGCGCCAAAACATTCCATTTCTGGGTCGCCACTCATGGTGAAGCTTTGCTGTTATAAACAAACAAAACAGTTGTTAGATAAAAACTGCAATTGTGTAGACTATACTACAGTATTACCTACCTGGAGGACACCTGTGGAGCTCCGATAATTCTGACAGCCCTCAGTTCAGCTGGAAACAAAAGTTTAAATGTGAGACTTGAAAAGTATACTGTCAATGTCTTAGATGAAGTACCTTTGCTTATTGTCCTTGGCTAAGATTATGTTGCTCTCTTTTTATACAAGGATGAGAGCTCATCACATGTTTCAGCAGCTCAATTTGGGCTCTGCCTGGCATTGTGCCTTACCTTCGAGCTGTCACTCATGAGATGTCTTTTCTTTCTCAGTCCCCATTGAGCCTTAATTCATTCTCAAGCAAAGAAAGGTTGGAGTTTTATAACATATTATGTTTCTTTATAAATTCTAGAAATAGTTTTGTACGTAATTTGATTGTGTTTTTCTCAAAAACGTATTGCGTTTTTTGTGTTTGTTTAAATAAAAATCCTGTTATAGTTTTAGTTTGAGTATAGTTGGTATTTTTATATCCCTTATGAACAATCCATAGAAGTGACTAATACATCAAGTTTACGCTAACGATCAACCTTCTCCCTCCCAATGCTTCGGATAAGTTTTTAAAAGTCACTGAGATACAATTTCAGAATCTTTACACGTCAGAAATTGTTAAAAATGAGATGCATGCCAAAGAGCTTTGAAGAAAAGAAAGGATTGCCAGGGGATTATTCCCTGCAACATTGCCAACAGCTGCTTTTATTCTTGCACTTAAGGGATACACAAGAGGGACTGACACAATCCCTAAATCTAGATCTACTGAGTAACGGATGCCAGATAAGCTTCCTTTAAGAAGTTTTTATTTTTCCTGTTTTGCAATAAAAAATATTATGGCCAGAATAATGTAATGCAAATAGTGAGAGTGTAACGTCTATGTGGGTCTATGAAACAATAACTAGAAGTAGCTGTTACATGTATTAAATACTATTTCCATCATTCTATTGTTAAAACAGTTAACATTTTTAAGATGTTGAACACCAACTGACACAACAGACTTTTCCACTGTTGTTTTAAATGTGACAATTTCCCTGGTAAAAATGGTAAAAACTGTATTGCCACAAAATAATGAATCTGTAGTGTTTACGCAAGACAATGAGCTCCTGGACATTTGTTATATGATGGCTGCTCAGTCATATTAGGAGGAAAATTAAATATAGCTGCAGCCTTGTGTTGATGGTCAAGCCACAAGGCAAATGCCACATGCCCAGGAGGCTTATTGTGTTTTATGATCACCCTCTGTCACTTTCTTTTGTCAAGCAGCAACAACTGCTTGTAGACAGCAAACCAAGGTGATTGTTGGGAAACATTCCTGGCCAAGTCAATGGCCACTAAAAACTTGGAACAAACGCGTAGTCTCCCGTAAGTATGTATTTATTTCTTCAATCATTGACTTGTTGAGACTGAACTAAAACAATGTGGATTTTCAGCCATGTTTTCAACTATGTGTACATCTGCCAAAGGTAGGTGCAGGTCTAACGGATTAATACAAATCTGCTTTAATGGTCCTCATTTTGACTGTCAGCTAAATGATCCCCTAAATGTTTAAAATTAGTTTTTAGTGTATGGTGGCTTGAATGGCATGACCTTATTCATCCCCAAACTCGTGGGATTAGGTTGTGAGGTGAGAAAGTGTGAGCTGCCCTTGGAGTTCACCACAGTACAGGATTAGCCATACACTGTTCTGCTCTTGCATGGGATTCTTATAACCTCAAGGCCATATCCAGTCTGTCTCTTCAATTGTTTTGTTTCTTTGCCTCCTTTTCCTTGCATGTTTTTTTCAAATGTGTATATTTAATTTATCCTGACATAAACCATAATGTGATCCAAGCAATTTTGATCTTAAACTTAGGCTTAAACTTATTTTTTTAAGTGGTCCGATACCTGCTTCTTGTGATAGTTGTTTAATAATGATTTTACTGCTTAAATATGGTTGTTTTTATGAGTGAGAAAATAGAATACTTCCCTCTTCACAGATATAACTTGTATTTTACCTGAGTGAAGAAAAAGGCTTATTTCCAATGTAAAAGAAAAGTTTAATTAATGCCAACATTTCAACCACATTTATGTGAACCCAAACTAAAATGTCACCCATCATCAGGACAGTTGAGAAATGCACCTTAAAACATAAGTAATTCATGAACAATGATGTAAATCCTGCTCAGCTGGTTTAATAATAGTGCTGTCACTTCCACACAGCGCTAAAGACCTCCTTGAGTGTGTATGTAAACATTAAGGAGGTCACTGACATCTTATAAACACCAGAGGGACCCTCAAGTTGTGAAGGCGCCAACACGCAGCAGGAGTTACCATCTTCTTTGGTTTCTGAATTACAACTCATCGCTAAACTTACACTATGCAAAATGGAAATCCGATATGCTTTTTTTCTGTATGGACATCAATTGAGGTGTAACATAGGTGTATCTTTGCTCCTTGTTTTATGTGTAAGCTCTATTGTGCTTCACTTAATGTATTGAATCTTTTGGACAAGATATTACAATAATCATTTTATTCTACACATTTTAATCAATTCACTATTCCAGTGTTTTTCAACCAGTGTGCCGAGGCATGTTTGTGTGCCTTGAGACCTTGTTTGGTGTGCCTTTGGAAATGATCCATCATCTTAGGAAATGGTCCAAATAATGTGAAAAGAAAATACTGTAAAAAGATTTTTTGCGCTGGTTTGATTTTCTACACAAAACACTTTGATAAGAAATGCTTTGCGTTCTTATTAAAGGCTGCAATGTTTTATTTTTGCATCAGTTTTAGCTAGTGGTGTGCCGTGAGATTTTTTCATAAAAAATGGTGTGCCGTTCTGAAAAAGGTTGGGGAACACTGCACTATACTACAAATAAATAACCAGATCTGTTCCTCATTCCAGAACAGGTTGTACCAAGTAGAGTGGTTAATCATTGCCATGCTGACGGAAATTGCTGTGAATGCAACATATGCCCAAACATTTCTATTTACTTTGATAGTATCTGATATACAGTTTATTATACATGTTTATTTAGATCAGGGACTGCAAAGCCGTTCAAGGGAAAGGCATGTGTTATGTGTTTCTTCTACAAAATGTGAAATAATCAGTAATATTTTTTTAATAAAAATATATTTCCATTTCATTAATTGGACAATTAGACAAATTAAGAGACAATTAGTTATGGAATATAAACGTAGACAAACACATTTATTTGTATAGCACATTAATAAAAACCCTGTCAAAGTTTGCACAAGCTAGTCCTTAGACTCTTAAATTACCCTTAAACATCTAGACCTCCTAAATGTCTTAGGAACCAAATATATTTTCATATGAAATGAAATTTTCTCACATAAAATGTATTCATACTTGTTTAGTACATTTGTTTATAACTAGCAAACATCCATGAATCTATTGAGATACATTCAATGTCAAATGTTTCTGTCAGTGACTGATAAAGATGCACTGTGTGAAGGGTTTCCTGCCAACTGTATTTCATTTTGTAAGAAATGATCAAATCATTTTGCTTGTCATTGATTTCCTTGCATGCAGCAATGCCTCTTCTACATGTTTTGTTTATTGTATTTGTTGTTAGTCAAATTACCACTAATACTATAATTGTTTTAAATATTTAAATAAAAATACTATGAATATGCATTTTATTGTGTTAAATGTACAATATTTAAACCATTCATAATAGTTTGTTCAAGACCAGCACTTCTACCCCCTCTGAGTCTTACTGTTCAACCAGTATAGATGCTGAGGCGATCCTTGTAATATGATTCCCAAAAAGATCTTGCCTTAATCAACAGAAGTGTTCTATGAATTTGTCAACAAATGCAAAAGCAACAGGCTTGGGAATTCAAAAGCTTGTGGCTATATTTGCTTGAGGCCCTAATATGACAATGGTAAAAGGCCAGACATATTAAATATCCTCTTTTATCGCAACATAATCACACCACCAGAGAATAGTTTCACAACATCTTTGGTTTCACCTTTCTTTTTGAGCAAGGCGCAATGGTAATGCCTCATAATGGAGTTTTAAAATAACCAGGGCTAAACACTTGGCTATGTCAACCCAATCATACAAAGATATGTTATATCTAAAAGGACTTTATATCAACTGAATATACTGAAGCTGCCGAGCACCACAAGACAGTAAAAGCTTGATGAACATGGAACATTTCATAGCAGTTGTTTGCAGATTAGTATTATGTGGTGCAGTCTTTTATCTAATGATGGTTTAATGATAATGGAGGCTGAGATGACACCAGTTGTGTGGATGAGGCCCACATGCCACCCGACACCGTTTGTCTAAAGGAGCCTAATACCATAAACAGGATGGCTGTTATGAGTGGTGGGCTGAATCTTTACTATAAAAGAGCCCCTGCAATGCTGCTCAGAAGTATTGAACTGACGGGCTGCCAAGAAAGGTGAGTCTCAAATACATTTTCTATGTAGTATTCATGACGGCTTCAACCTTTTCTTCTGACCAGTTCTGAATCGGATTTTTACATCTTCTTTTTTCAGTGTCCACATAGCAACAGATTGGCTCAGAAGGTAGGTCGGTATGGGCAAATGATATTGTTAAAAGGCATTAAGGAAGACAAATATTCTTGTAAATGTAGCTATAATGTGATTATACATTGTTTGAATACAGGTTTCCTACACCAAAGGGCCATCATGAGTGGAGACCCGGAAATGCAGTGTTTTGGCCCTGCTGCCATATACCTTCGTAAGCCAGAACGAGAGAGAATTGAAGCTCAGAACACTCCCTTTGATGCAAAGACAGCATACTTTGTGGCAGAGCCAGCAGAGATGTATCTTAAGGGAAAGCTCATGAAGAGGGAGGGTGGCAAAGCTACTGTCGAAATACAGGGTGGAAAGGTTAGCATTGTGTTTCTAATATATTCTAGAGATTTATTTATATATTTGTAATTGTTTTTAACTTTTGTTTTTTACAGACTCTTACAGTAAAAGAGGATGACATCCACCCCATGAACCCTCCTAAGTTTGATAAGATTGAGGACATGGCCATGATGACACATCTGAGTGAGCCCTCTGTGCTGTATAACCTCAAAGAGCGTTATGCAGCGTGGATGATCTACGTGAGTGTGAAGACAGCACTTCATAAACAGGAAACTTGTGCTGGTCTTAAGTCTGTTTGTGTTGGTTCTGACAGACCTACTCTGGGCTGTTCTGTGTGACTGTGAACCCCTACAAGTGGCTCCCAGTGTATGATGCAGCAGTTGTGGCAGGATACAGAGGCAAGAAGAGAGTGGAGGCTCCTCCCCACATCTTCTCCATCTCTGACAATGCCTATCAGTTCATGCTCCAAGGTATCTTTGACTTCACTGCATGTCTTTGTTTTAATCATAAAACTCACTAATAATATTGATATCTTACAGACAGGGAAAACCAGTCCATCCTGATCACGTATGTTTTCATTTCTTACTATCTTTTGATGAACTGTTTCACAACAATAATAAACGAGTGAGTGTCTTTTTCCCATTTCCCATTTAGCGGAGAATCCGGAGCAGGAAAGACAGTCAACACTAAGCGTGTCATCCAGTACTTTGCAACAATTGCTGTGGCTGGAGGAAAAAAGGCAGAGTCTGCTCCAGGAAAGATGCAGGTTTGTTTTTTATATATGATTTAATGCCATCAACATAATAGTATTTTTGACACAATATGACATCATTTGCAGGGGTCGCTGGAAGATCAAATCATTGCAGCAAACCCACTGCTGGAGGCTTATGGCAATGCCAAGACTGTGAGAAATGACAACTCATCTCGTTTTGTAAGTTCTTAAAACTACACAAAGGCGACTTCACCATTTTAATAATATTCCCCTTGATTTGTCTCAAGGGGCGAGAAATCAAAATAGCCTTGACATGATCAAAGCTATTTTATATGTATGCATCTATGACTTTTTAGGGTAAATTTATCAGAATCCATTTTGCGACAACTGGAAAGTTGGCATCTGCTGATATTGAAACATGTAAGACAGTTTTTTCAGATGAATAATAGTTTCATTAAACCCAGTTATATATTATCAGTCACTGCTGTTTCACAGACCTGCTGGAGAAATCTCGAGTGACCTTCCAACTGTCTGCTGAGAGGAGCTACCACATCTTCTACCAGCTCTGCACAGGACACAAGCCTGAACTGTTAGGTTAGAAAGGAGACAAAAATATTGCATTTTGTCTGTTGAAAATCTGATTTCAAATGACTTTCAGAGGCTCTTCTGATCACAACAAACCCATATGACTACCCCATGATTAGTCAGGGAGAAATCACTGTCAAGAGTATCAATGATGTTGAAGAATTCATCGCTACTGATGTGAGAAATCCACAAAACATGTGGTCAGATTAAGGCCTGTTTTTATGGCACAATGAACTTTTGTATTTGTGCAGACTGCCATTGATATTCTGGGATTCACTGGTGAAGAAAAAATGGGGATTTTTAAGCTGACTGGTGCTGTGATGCATCATGGGAACATGAAGTTCAAGCAAAAGCAACGAGAAGAACAGGCTGAGCCTGACGGCACGGAAGGTAAACTCTCCATTATGAAATCAATAGTGTGTAGTTGTTTTAGGCTGACAAATATTCTTGTTTGTCTTGGTTCTCATAATGATCAGTGGCTGATAAAGTCGCATACCTTCTGGGCCTAAACTCAGCGGACATGCTCAAAGCTTTGTGCTACCCAAGAGTCAAAGTCGGTAATGAAATGGTTGTAAAAGGCCAGACAGTTCCACAGGTAACTCTGAACTCAGTATCATGACAGTTTTTGATTATTTGATTGTCTCTATATCTTGAGTTTTTTGTGTTTTAGGTCAACAACGCTGTGTCAGCTCTGTGTAAATCTGTCTATGAGAAAATGTTCTTGTGGATGGTTGTCCGCATTAACGAAATGCTGGATACGAAGCAGCCAAGGAACTTTTTCATTGGTGTCCTGGATATTGCGGGTTTTGAAATCTTTGATGTAAGATTCATTATAAAGATACAGTTCACCAGTAATCTAAGGTTTAGAAGATTTTTTTCATAAGAAAAAACATGTAAAGAAGCTAGTACTGCTTATTTACCGGACATGTTTTGATAGTATACTTCCGCCTACCGCCAAAACATGTCAGGGGAATAAGCAGTACTAGCTTTTCTTTCGATTTTTTGTCTCATTAAAATAACCTTCTAAGCCTAAAACAAAAGAGGATGAAACAAACTTTTTTCATTTGACCTGAAATCTTCTGAAAATGTATTTTCTTTTTTATTCTTTTCTTACCAGTACAACAGTTTGGAGCAGCTGTGCATCAACTTCACAAATGAAAAACTGCAACAGTTTTTCAACCACCACATGTTTGTCCTGGAGCAAGAAGAGTACAAGAAAGAAGGCATTGAATGGGAGTTCATTGACTTTGGGATGGACTTGGCTGCCTGCATTGAGCTTATTGAGAAGGTATCATTGAAATAATCTATTAAATAGTACTTTGACAGAAGAAAATGACATTCATTATGTTGTGTTGACAGCCAATGGGCATCTTCTCCATCCTTGAAGAGGAGTGTATGTTTCCAAAGGCATCAGACACTACCTTCAAAAACAAACTGTATGACCAGCATCTGGGAAAAAGTGCCCCTTTTCAAAAACCCAAGCCAGCCAAGGGTAAAGCTGAGGCACATTTCTCCCTTGTGCACTATGCTGGCACTGTGGATTATAATGTGACGGGCTGGTTGGACAAGAACAAGGACCCTCTGAACGACTCAGTGGTCCAGCTCTATCAGAAGTCTTCAGTCAAGCTGCTGGCCATGCTCTATGCATCTCATGCTGGGACTGATGGTAATCCTCACTATATGTAACCATTCACTATATAAAAAAACAAAAGTTTATCATTATCCATTACTTAAATGACCTCCATTGTATTTGCCTTTGACTATGCTTTAGCTGAGGGAGGTGGAAAAAAAGGTGGCAAGAAAAAGGGTGGTTCATTTCAGACAGTGTCTGCTCTGTTCAGGGTGAGTAACATGTGCTTCACATTTAGTAGGTGAGTAAGTACCCAATAATAATGATCAAAATATCTTTCAGGAAAATCTTGGTAAATTGATGACCAATTTAAGATGTACTCATCCTCATTTTGTACGCTGTTTGATTCCAAATGAATCAAAGACCCCAGGTTGGCCTACAAATAATGATTGATTTAAACTCTCACGAAATTTTATATAAAACATTTTGGTTTAGGTCTCATGGAGAACTTCCTGGTCATCCACCAGTTGAGGTGTAATGGAGTGCTGGAGGGAATCCGCATCTGCAGAAAAGGCTTCCCCAGTAGAATCCTCTACGCAGACTTCAAGCAGAGGTATGTTCTAGTATTTTCTGTTCTGCAGTAAAACAAATAAACAACTGAACCTCTGTCTACTTTAGATACAAAGTGTTGAATGCTAGTGTCATCCCAGAGGGACAGTTTATTGACAACAAAAAGGCCTCAGAGAAACTCTTGGGCTCTATTGATGTCGACCAAACCCAGTACAAATTTGGACACACCAAGGTATAATGCATAAATTATTAAAATAAGTGTGTATAATGGTATCTTTGAGTGCTTGTGTTGTGTCCCTGTAGGTGTTTTTCAAAGCTGGTCTGCTGGGTACTCTGGAGGAAATGAGAGATGAGAAGTTGGTTGAGCTGGTCACAATGACTCAGGCTCTGTGCAGAGGTTACGTCATGAGAAAGGAGTTTGTGAAGATGATGCAGAGAAGGTGAGGTTTGAGTCTTCCATAGTTAGTGTTCAATTTAATGAGCTCATTCAATTGAATTATCATTCTTTTTTTCTTTACAGGGAAGCCATTTACTCAATCCAGTACAACATCCGCTCATTCATGAATGTAAAAACATGGCCATGGATGAAGCTGTACTTTAAGATCAAGCCTCTTCTGAAGAGTGCAGAAACTGAAAAGGAAATGGCCCAAATGAAAGAGGATTTTGAAAAGACAAAAGAAGAACTTGCAAAAGCGTTGGCCAAAAAGAAAGAGCTGGAAGAGAAAATGGTCACTCTGCTCCAAGAGAAGAATGACTTGGCATTGCAAGTGCAATCAGTAAGTATATGTTTCACTGAATAATGGACATGTATTCTTAATAACATGAATAAACTCCTTATACACAAAGACATTCACAAATGTTTATACATTTATAAAAGAAGGAATGATGAAGAAGTCACTGCTAAACAATTTATGTCTGCCTTAAAAACAAGCTGAACTCATGGACTGTATATGAAATGGGCAGTGCTAATCCCCCTGTTAAAGCCAAGCAGAGATATACTTTTGTATGTTTGGCTTCTGTTATCTTTGGCTCAGATTCATTTACATTGAAAAGTAAGCTCCTCTTACTCTGTGACTATGTGTGTCATACACACCATTTTTTTGGATATCATCTTTGTAAATTCATACCTGACCCTTGATAACTGACCAATCAGGTACCCTCTATCCCAGAATTTGGCGGGAAAAGACAAACCTCCCTTTTGATTGGCTCTTTGGTTGCTAGTAAGTTGTTATGAGCGAATAAGGCTGCAAATTCTCGTTTCCCATGAATACATCTTTTATTGTCTCCCGAGGGAAATTCAGTTCCACAGAAACTGTCACATTTAAAGAATGGAGAAGGAAGTCACTATACACACAAGATACACAAAATACACAGAAAGTAACACATGCAGTACAGGAACATGGACAACATTCCAGTTCTTTTAAGAGCAGCTATGGCTGAAGGGACAAAACGTTTGTTGAATCTTGCCTGCTTTCATCTTAAAGTTCTGCCCGCAGAGTAAAGTGGGTGTGGAGACCAAAGAAAGTACTCAGCCTGAGCCAAATCCTATGCATTTATAGTAGCTGTTTGTTAATAATAGATAACATAAATCAAATAACTGTTTCAACTTTTTAGGAAGGTGAAAACCTCTCTGATGCAGAGGAAAGATGTGAGCAGTTGATCAAATCCAAAATCCAACTTGAATCCAAAGTAAAAGAAACGTCTGAGAGACTGGAGGATGAGGAGGAGATCAATGCTGAGCTGACGGCAAAGAAGAGGAAGCTGGAAGATGAATGCTCCGAGTTGAAAAAGGACATTGACGACTTGGAGCTCACTCTGGCCAAAGTGGAGAAAGAAAAACATGCAACAGAAAACAAGGTAAACATAATCCTGGAGTTGTTATGATTCTTGGATTGAGGACCACTTACTACCATTTTGGGTTGGATGAGTTGTGTGTGACACAAATGTGTGACAAACACTTTGTTTTTAGGTCAAAAACCTCACAGAGGAGATGTCCTCTCTTGACGAAGCCATTGTCAAGTTAACTAAGGAGAAGAAGGCTCTTCAGGAGTCCCACCAGCAGGTTCTGGATGACCTTCAAGCAGAGGAAGACAAAGTCAATTCTCTGACTAAGGCTAAAGCCAAACTGGAGCAGCAAGTTGATGATGTAAGTCATTAAATCACTCTACCCTAATCTCATGAACGTTATTATTGAATCTACAAACTATTTCTGCGCTTTGATAGCTGGAAGGCTCTCTTGAGCAAGAAAAGAAGATTCGCATGGATCTTGAAAGAAGCAAAAGGAAACTTGAAGGAGACCTTAAACTGGCCCATGAAACCATCATGGATCTAGAAAACGACAAGCAGCAGTCTGAGGAGAAAATTAAGAAGTAAGTTCAAAATATCTAAAAAAATATTATAATTTTGTGCCAGTAATTTAATGACTTTAAATATCAATTCAAAGGAGGGACTTTGAGATGAGCCAGCTTCTCAGTAAAATTGAAGATGAACAGGCAATTGAAATCCAGCTTCAAAAGAAAATCAAGGAGCTACAAGTGAGCCTCTCATGAACGATTTACATTTTAGTAAGACCCTCCCAAATATTGTATGACATGCTTTGTGTGTTCAACCAGGCTCGTATTGAGGAGCTGGAGGAGGAAATTGAAGCTGAGCGAGCGGCCCGGGCTAAAGTAGAAAAACAGCGCTCAGATCTCTCAAGAGAACTTGAGGAGATCAGCGAGAGGTTGGAGGAAGCTGGCGGAGCCACATCCGTCCAGATTGAGATGAATAAAAAGCGTGAGTCCGAGTTTCAAAAACTACGGAGAGATCTGGAAGAATCCACTCTTCATCATGAGGCCACTGCTGCTGCACTGCGCAAAAAGCAGGCTGACAGTGTGGCTGAACTGGGAGAGCAGATTGACAACCTCCAGAGAGTCAAGCAAAAACTGGAGAAGGAGAAGAGTGAATACAAGATGGAGATTGACGATCTTACAAGCAACATGGAGGCTGTTGCTAAAGCTAAAGTACATTTTATTTTCTAAATATATGCAAGATTATATATATGTATATATATATATATATATATATACATATATAGAACACCCATGTTTGTTTTTTACATCATCTAAATTTTTAGGGCAATTTGGAAAAAATGTGTCGTTCCCTTGAAGATCAGCTTGGTGAAATCAAGTCTAAGAATGAGGAGCATGTGCGTCAATTAAATGAAATGAATGCCCAAAGAGCAAGACTGATGACAGAAAATGGTTTGTATGAAACAACAAGTGTGTAGTCACTTGCACCTTTTTTATGAATGTTTACTGTTTATCAGGTGAGATTGGTCGTAATCTGGAAGAAAAGGAGTCTCTTGTTTCACAACTTATGAGAGGAAAACAGGCTTATGTCCACCAAATTGAGGAGCTCAAAAGACACCTTGAGGAGGAAGTTAAAGTATGATATTATATACCTACAAATAAGCATAGAATAAAATAAAAAGAAACATATGACAAAGGATAAAAGGATGTAAACTACCATGTGATTTGTTCTTTTATTTAGGCTAAAAATGCCCTGGCTCACAGCCTGCAGTCATCCCGTCATGACTGTGACCTGCTCAGAGAGCAGTATGAGGAAGAGCAAGAGGCCAAGGCCGAGCTGCAGCGAGCACTGTCCAAGGCCAACAGTGAAGTGGCTCAGTGGAGAACCAAATATGAGACTGATGCCATTCAGCGCACTGAGGAGCTGGAGGAGGCCAAGTGAGTTTACAGCCACAGGGCTTTTGTCTTCTTTAGCAATGTGTTTAAACAGATCTGTCCTTATAGGAAAAAGCTGGCACAGCGTCTCCAGGATGCAGAGGAATCAATTGAGGCTGTGAATGCAAAATGTGCCTCTCTAGAAAAGACCAAGCAGAGGCTTCAGGGCGAAGTGGAAGACCTGATGATCGATGTGGAAAGAGCGAATAGTCTCGCAGCTACACTGGACAAAAAACAAAGGAACTTTGACAAGGTTGGGTTTGTACTGATGTATTGAACTCAGCTCTATTCAGTGTCTAACACATCTGAGTGACAAATGTTCAATCATGTTTAGGTTCTTGCAGAATGGAAACAGAAGTATGAGGAGAGCCAGGCTGAACTGGAGGGAGCTCAGAAAGAAGCTCGCTCTCTCAGCACAGAAATGTTTAAACTGAAGAACTCCTATGAAGAGACTTTGGACCATCTGGAGACTCTGAAGAGAGAAAACAAAAACTTGCAACGTATGGCTATAACCATGATTCCAACATTATAGTATGTTCAAATGTTGATGGGTATTTATTTCATACTTTTAGAGGAAATCACTGACTTGACAGAATACCTTGGTGAATCAGGAAAGACAATCCATGAACTGGAAAAGGGTAAGAAGTCAGTAGAGAGTGAGAAAGCAGAAATTCAAACAGCCTTGGAGGAGGCTGAGGTGTGTATGCATCGTCATTGAAATATCTAATCTCACGGGGTCTGTTCAAATCTCTAAAATATAACTTTCCAAAGGCCACATTGGAGCATGAGGAGTCAAAGATCCTTCGTGTTCAGCTTGAATTGACACAGGTCAAGGGTGAAATTGACAGGAAACTGGCAGAAAAGGATGAAGAGATTGAGCAGATCAAGAGGAACAGCCAGAGAGTCATTGAGACCATGCAGAGCACTTTGGATGCTGAAATCAGGAGCAGAAACGATGCCCTGAGAATCAAGAAGAAGATGGAGGGAGACCTGAATGAAATGGAGATTCAGCTGAGCCATGCGAACCGCCAGGCTGCTGAAGCACAGAAACAACTGAGGAATGTGCAGGGCCAGCTCAAGGTGCTTGTGCTACAACTGTTCAGGTGAAAACAGTCAGACTGGATTTATTACTATTACTTCGTCTTCAACAGGATGCACAACTGCACCTTGACGAGGCCCTCAGGGGCCAAGATGAAATGAAGGAGCAAGTGGCCATGGTGGAGCGCAGGAACAACCTGATGCTGGCAGAGATCGAGGAGCTGAGAGCTGCTCTGGAACAAACCGAGAGAAGCCGCAAAGTGGCTGAACAAGAGCTGGTGGACGCCAGCGAGCGCGTGGGACTCCTCCACTCTCAAGTAAAACAAAACAATTCATTGTATTTCAATTTCAAAGACATTGCAACAATAACTAGCATTATTCTTGCTTACTTCCAGAATACCAACCTTATCAACACCAAAAGGAAGATTGAAGCTGACCTTATGCAGATACAAGGTGAAGTAGAGGATGCTATTCAGGAAGCAAGAAATGCTGAAGAAAAGGCCAAAAAAGCAATCACTGATGTGAGTGTTTTTAATGTTCTCTTACAAGATCTCATAACGCGTAACTGCTTGATTTATGTAATGCAACATTAGGCTGCCATGATGGCAGAGGAGCTGAAGAAGGAGCAAGACACCAGCTCTCATCTGGAGAGGATGAAGAAAAATCTGGAGGTGACTGTGAAGGACTTGCAGCTTCGTCTGGATGAGGCTGAGAACCTGGCTATGAAGGGCGGCAAGAAGCAGCTCCAAAAACTTGAGGCTAGGGTAAAGATTATAAACAATAAATGTCATCAATCAATATAATTTAAGAATCTGTGATATTGTTTTTAAATCATCAATATTTGATTAGGTTCGAGAGTTGGAATCTGAGGTTGATGCTGAACAGAGGCGTGGTGCTGAGGCTATTAAAGGTGTTCGCAAATATGAGCGGAGAGTAAAGGAACTCTCGTACCAGGTACCTGCAGCATGGCATGAGCTAAGAAATCTACCATTGGTTAAGTGGATGTAGAGTGCACTTGAGAACTCTAGAGGGCACAAATCACCATCTCATAATTTGCTTGACCTACTGAAACACATCTTGAAGAAAGTTACTATAAATAGCTAGTTGTATGTAGCACTTAATAGGATGCTGTCAGAGGTATTTATGTTGAGGTTTCACAAGTTTTCACTTGCAACATAGAACTCAGAGGAACTTTGGTCATGTGGACCATGTGCATGCCAAGTTTTTTTTTTACAAAGTAACAATGAAGATGCAGAGCGGCTAGATGCAGTTTCCAGTCTCTCATAGCCCATACTAAATGCTTTTAGACTGAAGAAGATAAGAAGAACATTGCCCGCCTTCAGGATCTAGTGGACAAACTTCAGCTGAAAGTGAAATCATACAAGCGGCAGTCAGAGGAGTCTGTGAGTGCAAAGAAATATGATATGCACAGATGCTGAGTGTATGAGTAATGAGACTTGTTTTCCTGTCACTGTTTGAAGGAGGAGCAGGCCAACACCCACCTTTGTCGATACAGAAAGGTCCAACATGAACTGGAAGAGGCTCAGGAGCGTGCGGACATCGCTGAGACTCAGGTCAACAAGCTCAGGGCCAAGAGCCGCGACTTCAGGGTAATGTGGTGCTGGTGGTCTTCTCTTTTGCCCTCCGTTCTAAATTAATGACAATGTTTCTTTTTTATTTAAGGGAAAAGAAGCTGAGGAGTGAGCTGAAACCTTGGAGACACAAGAAGGAAAAGTCATACAATATGTGCTTTTAGACATTTTGTGTAATAAACGTTTTCGAATGTAAAACATTTCTTTTTGTTTGATATGACAATTTCATTCTACTAAAGGAGTTGAACCAAAAACTGCGGTGTAAATTGAGCCTCGTGACTTACCGTTCACAGTTGCAAGAAAGTTCAAAGGTCATCATAACTGCAAATTGTTGGCTTGTGGCGATAATGTTACTGACAGTCTGGTATACTCTTTCTCTCTCCTAAGCATGTGCTGCCTTATGTCAACAGGTAGTTATGATGAAAGTAGAGGTATTTTTGCAACCACTTACCCCAATCCAGAGAGCACAAACATTCAGAATAACCTATGAAGGACATAAATTGAACATGGTCCATCATATTATATCTCTTGAATATTAAGAAAAGGATTTAAAACATTACATTTCTTGATAATTCATTCTTTATTCATATCTGCTTATTTCTCCAGATATGATATCCAATACATAAATATATCCAATAGAAAAATAGAATAGCAAATTAATTATCAAGTCATTTAAAACAATAACTATTTATATCCCTCCATCTCTTACTGGACCTTGTTGAGTAAATATAAGTGACCTTTGATAATCCAAGACCACCAAGGAATAGCATCTTTTATATCAAAGGGTGTTCCACAATAAGACTTAAAAGCAGCTGAGCCCTTAGAACAGTGTGGAGGAGAGTGCTATATTTGTATTTCTTCCTAATAAGCAGACCCTGGAGCACAAAGTGGGCTATCGAGTGTCACATTTTTATTGAACACAGAGACTTATGCAGCCGGGTGTGAAGTCCTCGGTCTTCCAACGCTAATGCCCACTGTTCATCTTTGGCAGTTTGGTCTCATCTTTCAACAAGGAAAGTATGCAAACAACCAGACATCATATAACCCGATCCCTTTCTTACCAAGCGCAGGGGAACAAACACTCAACTTAGGGAAGGTCAATCTGCGAGTCAGGCCTTGTCTTCAGTTCATCTGTCAGGACACACACCACAACAAGGCCATTTAAAGAAAGGGTTTAAAATATCACCAGTGCCCTCGAGACAATGTATAGTAAAGGAGAAAACTGGAGACACAAACTTACTCACCTGTTCAAACTTAAGTCTGTGTCGGACAGTGAGGCTCTGAAGGATAGTCCTACAGTTTACAGCCTGACTAACAAAGCGTTTATGAAGCTTTGTTTGTCAGTTATATACTGTATAAAGGGAATGCTGGGTCAAAAAGAAAATCTTCCAAAGCATTCCTTGTTTGCTTGTCGACACAATAGCAGGTGACCTCTAATATAAGCTGTTTACGCCTCTTTGGCTTTCAGACCACAGAGGTGAAATGAAACTGTCTGAACCCAATTATTCAACATTCTGCATGATTATTGTTCTTTATTGCCATGGTGTAATTTGGAAGACCCAAGTGCTGGACACTGAAGCCAAGCCTGCCACAATGGAGATGGTGGAGGTGAAGTTTAAGAAGTTTAAGAACTAAGCTACTGAGCTACATTAGATTGTTATGACCATGTCACAAGCCATTGAATTTTCAGTACTTAATCCCCTAGAACAGCCATTCCCAAACTCAGTAACACCGAGGCCCCCTTAAAAATCTGACGGGTTTGCGTGGCCCCCCAAAATAATAACCAAGAAGACAACATTAAGAATAGGCTCTTCTGGCTATTTTATTTTGGGGAAATAGCCTCTGCTACAAACATTGTAATACAAAAATGATTACAGTGGATTATTCAAGTCAAATAATGAACACAAATATTTTAATATTACAAACAAAACATTATAAATTTAACATTAAATAATTATATTATTTTTTAATTTTTTTTATGACCTCCCGCGGCCCCCCTGCAGTACCCTCGCGGCCCACCAGGGGGCCGCGGACCCCACTTTGGGAGACACTGCCCTAGAAAGTTACTCCAATTTGTCTATTCTGAACAAGGTCCTGTCTGCTACTCACCTGGGCTGACATATACAATTCAACAATGAGGCTATCCACCGTCGTTACTTTGCCATTGTCATGGCCAAAGGAGAAAAAAATAATGTTCTCCCCTTTAAAGGCCATTTCTGGTTCGGGGGGTGACAATGAGAGCTGCCAACCAATGCTCATAGCACCAGTCCCTCTCTGATCCTCTGCAGGTGGTGGGTCCTCAGGAAGATGGCTGCTACATCAGTGGTGCCACGGCCTTAATGTTTCAGCAGGAGCTTCAGGCAATGAAGCCTCCCACTGAAACATAAATGAATAACGTTTTATTAATTTGATAAATTGTTATACATTGTTCCTTTTTTCAAATCAACACTGAAATGTCCAATCTGTGGAAGGTTCTCTTATTTTATGTTACTTTAATTTCTAATTGTCCCAATATCTTTTCATGAGTTACAATTACAGAATTTATTTCAGTGTGTTCACAATTTTGTGAATCGATAGAACCCAAACTAGATGATTTGGTTCCTCAATAATCAAGATTCAAGATTCAATAGATTGAATAATTTATTGTCTTTGCCACAAAAACAACAAAATTACATATAGAGCATCACCGTGAGAAGCGTATAAAGGTCCTACGCCTCTCACCCATTCAACCCAACACAGACACAAAAACACACAGGCCCAAACACACTCTGACCCTACACCTCTCTCCCACTACTCGCTCTGTGCTGATGGCACACCTCCACATACTTTTTGGTAGCGCTTTTTGGGTACCTTTTTAAACTGTTGAATTAAAAAATTCAGTTTTAATTTATTCATAATGTTTATATACATTGATAAAATAATGTTATTTATCCATCAATCTTTAGTTGTAATATCACAAATATCAATCAATCAACACATTTAAATTTAAAAATTATACGTATTGTTATAGAATTATATACCCCATGAAGGAGAAAACTCAAAGGTCCTTTGTCTGATCAAAAGCGTAAGTTTATTGTTAACGCACAATGCGGAGAGCCAGCACATACACTCCAAAAGCCGCATGTCCCAGCTCTGGGGGCCAGAGCCCCGAGCTTCCTGTATACAAGACACACACCAAAGATAGTCACGCCCACAACGGAGCGGAGGGGGCCACCGGTGAGGAGGCGCACAGGAAGCGCCGGCGCTATCCCCTGTGGTGGCAGTGGCATGGGGTGTGAACAGACAGACAATGGTGGAAATGCAGGTCATACAGATGCAAGACGGAAAGACACAAGGGTGTGACAGACAGCAGGGACCTTCACAAAGCTCAGCATGGCGTCAGAAGGTCGTCTGCATTGATAAAAGGCCTTTGACGTCCGTGTATTTGCTGCGGCTGGTTTTAATGTAATTACTCCAAAAACTGTCACCACACTCCCCTCTTTTGATAATTCAAAACCATTTTTGCATTAATCAGTTAAATACCAGAGGTATCGTAATCACACCACCTTCAAGCTTGAAACACTTAAATTATTGCTGTCCAAAGTGGACAAGAAAAGACACATGCTTGTCAATAAAAGAAAGAGCACATTATAATAACACAATGGATCCGGACAGCGATAAGAGAAGGCAATATTAACATAATAAACACGGTCAGCACGGAAAGTAGTGTCAGTGTGGCCAGCATAACAGTCCAAGGGCCCATGCCGGTCTACGTTCGGTAGTCTTTTCCGCGGGAATACTCACGAGCAGTGCCGTCTCGCAGTCAGTGGCACCGCTCCCTATGAGCGTGTGTGGAGCGTTAGTGGTCATGGCGATGTTTGGTCTTGGAGCGGCAAGACTCTAATTGCGTTGAAGCCTTGGCCTCAGCACTCGGTTGGGCAGAGTGCTCGGGGTTTGGGGTGTGGAGACCATGGCTTGAGCACGCTCCAGATCGGCCAGGCCCAAAGCTCATTTGATGGGAGACCTCATGACAGCACGCTTCACCATGTGCCTCATCAGGAACTGTAGAGCAGCCCTCATCTCCACCTCCTCCGGACACACGGGAGACGAGACACCAGGGGGGCACTCCAGCAGAGCTCAAATCTGCATTATGGCCAGAGGGAACAAGCTCTGGAGAAATCTTTGGAATGGGCAGCAGCTCTGCATACTTGCTGCAGCTGAGCAGAGCGCTCAGGGCCTTCATGGCTCCCAAGCCTTGGGATCCGGGGGCTGGGGAGTTGGGCAAAAGGGGGGTCGCCTCGGGAACGCTGGGATTCTCTGGGTGTTGTTGTTGGCCTGCTTCACCGACGGTGGCCGCACGCCGGCCGACTTCTTCATCGTAGGGAGCCGCGGATGGGCCTGGTCCGTCCGCGCCCTCGGTGTCCTCGTCTATGGCCCTCAGTGGCAGCACCGCACGACAGTGGTTGGCGTGGATCCAAGTTGTCCTCTCCGCGACCTTAACGGCAGTGTCCGTCACCAGGAGGGCGAGGAATGGGCCGAGCCAGCGCTTGGACCGCCAGTGCTTTCGTCTCGTTTCCTTCACCAGGACCCAGTCGCCTGCGCAGCCTGTGGCAGGGCGCTCCTGACCTGGGCAGAAATAGAGGACAAAAGTGCATTAATTTCCTTACAATAGGACAGCATGTCGTCATCACACAAAGAGGTGCTTGGCAGATCTCTGTTCGGGGGTCCCTCGCCCAAGTTGGGTGGTCTGGCACAGAGGATTTCGAATGGGACTCTCATGCGCATGTACATGAGGGCTAGCGGCAGAGCTTTGAGTGCCATTCTCTCGCTCGCACGCGCCTCCGGGCCAGGGGGCGTAACTGCAGTGTTTACGTATATCAATGCCCAGAAATTCACCCACTTCCTCAATGACTTTTGCTACAAAGTGACTGCCAGTGTCACTAGAGATTTTTTCTCGGGGCACAATTTTTGTGAGCAGAGCTTTCACCACCGCGTTGCTTGTGGCGTGTATGCCTGCAAATACTTCAGTCCATTTGGACCAGAGATCCGCCAGAACCAGACAGTATTACTTACCTTGGCATGGTGTGAGTTCAACAAAGTCCCTTTGGACATGTTGAAATGGGCGCAGGGGCG